TTAATTGAGTATACAAAACAAAAGTTGATCTTCGATCATGTTTTTAAGATTTCATGCCGCCACGGGTGAGGGCCCGACACCGACAATCTTCTCGCATTTGCTCTCCCACTTGTCCGAATTCTGCTATTTCACTTGAACGCCAGAGCCGGGTCATCGGGCGAGCCATGGCCCCTCCAGGCCCCCTCCCTCCCATTTTCCTCAATCATCCATAGCCTGAAACATGTTTTCGTAGGGTTAATTTCATTGACTTGTACAACTTTGATAGGACTTGTTTGCTGCTGGTTTTAGTTTTATATTTATTTAAAAGAACAGGTTATATATGTGATATGTCAATGAAATTGCGTGACACGATCAACTAGTTAGACAGATAATAAATTCTCGTAAAATTTCACCAGGATTTGCAGAGATTCTAGACCTACTTCCCTATACCCTCGTACGTATTAATTAGTTAGCTATAAATCTAAACTGAGAAGCATGGAAATGGAGAAATTAAGGGCCCTTCGGTATAACAATTTTACTTTATCCTATTCCTTTATTCTATCCAAATTATTTTAATATTCAAAATTATCTTTAAAATACAATAGTATTATATTTAATTCAAAATATTTAGATTATTTTTAACCTCTTAAATTTATTTATTTAACTTAACATCCCTAACAATAAAATTTTATAAATTGATAAAAACACCTTCACTCACCCACATTTACGAGATTTCGGTCACCACCATTAGAAGGTGGTCGGAATCAACCGTAATGGCTCACTACTAGCTGGATATAGTCGGTAGTATATCGATCTAGACTTTTTCGATCGAATTCACCGTGGATTTGACCGGAAAAAGCCAGATCTACGGCCACAAGATCTACTTGTCGTTGACGGCCATATCTTGGTCGTCGTTATCCAAATCCAACCGGTAATGTGTCATTACTACAGATTCCGACCACCTTTCGACGATGGTGGCCGAAATCTGACAAATGTGGGTAGATAGGGATGTTTTTATCAATTTATAAAATTTTATTATTAAGGTGGTTAAATTAATAAACCTAGGGGTTTAAAATAATCTAAATATTTTTAGAAAATAATATTAAAAAATATACAAAAAGCTTTTTCAAAATACTACTCAACTCAACTTTTTCTCAAAGACTATTATAAAAACTCCTAAAATAATGAGCCAAACAGATTCTTAGACACAATTGACAATTGCAAATGACATCCAGACGACTCTAAGTCACATGTCTTCCTTTGAACGTACAGCAACAAGGTTTGGCGGTGGTAGAAAAAAACTTGACATATTTCGTGATAATACTAGATGTACAAATAAATTTACAAAGATTTCTTGTACAAAGTAATATGACAGGAGATGAATAGAGGAGTGAATATGATAAATTTGACTTTTTACACTAACTCTTCTGTTATGATTAAGAAATCAAAGGCTAACGTGGAGTTGCGTGACAAAACGTGGCCTGCTCCCGTCAGAACGGTAAGCGCACGTCAGACCTGCCAAACGCCCTGGTGCTCCCACGTGTCCGCTAACCTGCTCCAAATCGCGTGAAATCGGCTTAGAAAATGGGTAATGGGACGTAAAATCAGATTAGGTCCTGACAATCACACCAACCCATGGATTTAATGATGATTACACGCTTCAGCTTGATATAAAATGAAGAAGACCCCTTCATTAAAGGGATTCGACAATTTTACATAAAAACACTCTCTCTTGTAAACAAGACATTTACTTTTTCTAAATCTCTTGTAAGTCAGTCCGCTGTTGCGACCTGACCCACGATATCAATATCAATACAAATCAGTGGACGTAGGACTTGTTACCTTAGCATCCGAACCACTTTAAAAGCTCTCATAGCATTTATTTCGCATTGATAATCCATATTCACGTGCGTTCCTTATCCAATCAACGTTGCACACGTGTCAATTGATTGGTGCCTAAATCACGCATCAACATCTTCTATTCTTTTCTTACCACATCATTTCAAATCTTTATAAATTCATTTACCTCTTGTATTAACTCTTATATTCTTCTCTTGCCACATCACTTCACATCTTTGTAAATTTCTTTTACGTCTTCCATTATTGATTTCCTCTGTTACTTGCTCTTCCTATGCATACATGTCACTTATTTTCTACAAGACCTGGCAGACAGGATGGCAGATTTGCAGCCTCTTTTAAGCCTTGTTTTGCGCTACCCTATCCTTCCAGTGTTAATCTTTCAATCTTTTCCATTCAGGTGATGTCGTGTTCATTTCATATCTCCCGACTTTTCTTTTCTCATCCGATTTCTTTCAGCACAATATTTTTACACTTTGATACAAGTAAAACGGCACATGCATTTATGCTAATTTGTGATCATACTGAAAATTTGAGATAGATCCCATCTTTCATCTGCAGTTATAAACTCCATAACAAGTCTCCTTATATGTAGAAAACTTTAAATACAAGACCTTTCATTATCATACTACATAAAGAATCTGGTTAACAACAGTTACAGTGAACTTTTATGTTTGATCACATCACTGCTTCCCTCTACGGGATTGGTGATAAGTTGGCGTGAGTGACAGGTCCCTTCTGAAATAGATTTCAGGTTGAGTGTTGGATTAAGATGACCGACAAATGATTATAGGTAGGGCTGGAATTGCCTGCCATATGCGAAGCTAAGGTTATGTCTTTTCCTTGGGGTGGAGCTCAAAATTTTGATAGTTGATATAACAAGATTATGTGAAATTTATTATCGTCTTCATCACATCACTTAGCTCATGGGAGATTATTTTTGTTCACTGATTGACTTAACATGTCGTTCTCTGTGCTTTCTATAGGATTGGCTGAGGCCCAAAATTTCACAATATTTGCTTTGGGAAGAGATTTTTAGACCCCATTAAATTGCTCAATATCTTCCATTTTTTATTTTTAAATGCATTTTTCTTTTGACAGTTTAACATTAATGACATAATAATTTGTAAATATATTTATTCTCTATTTTATACTTTGTTTAATTTTCTAAACTGAATGCTTACATAAACTCTAAATTTAAACTTTCTGAATCATTATGCGTTTGTTTAGTTATTTTGAGTAGTATTTTTGAAATATTATTCGTAGGTAGAGTTGGATGATTATTATGAAGTAGAATTTAAAAATTAACAAAAAAATCCCATAAGTTTGCTAATTTAAGTAAACACCTCAATATAGAAAAATTTTATAAAATGACAAAAACACCCCCACCCACCGACAATTGCAAGATTTCGGCCACCACTATCAAAATCTGGCGTTACAGCGCACGACCGGTCAGATCTGGCCAAAAAATGCTAGATCTAGCCATCAGTGACGGCCAGATCTGGCCTTTTCCGGCCAGATCGGTGCATTACCGGCCAATTCTGATAGGTAGTGCGTCGTTGTGACAGATTCCGACCACCACTGATGGAATCTGGCAACTATGGGTGGGTGGGGGTGTTTTTATCAGTTTATAAATTTTTTTGTTGGGGGTGTTTTTGTTAATTAACAAACCTATGGGGTTTAAAAGGTTTTTTAATTTAGGATATGATTTTGAAAATAGGGAAACAAACGCGCATTTGTATTTGGAATAGAGGCAGGATAATGGTAAAATAACGAAACAATTTGGAATAGAGACAGGATAGTGGTGAAATAACGAAACAAACGCAAACATTTTTTATTTTATTTTAAATAATTCCTTGTTTGATGAACATATATTACTAATGCTATGGAGAAAATAATCACACAAAGGGATGAATAAGAAGACAAAAGTAAGTTTCAAATTTGAAATTGGAAAAAATGGGTACAAACAAATAAACCTAATTAAGAAATTGATACAACAGTTTAAACAAAAACCCTAAGTAAGTTGAAATTAGGAAAAAATTGGTATAGCAAAAAACCCTAATTAAAATTTTGGGTAAACCTAGTAATTGCCTATCCGACGGCTCGAAGACAAGACTCTTAAGTATAACTAATTCCAATGGCTAAAAGGCTCCTGCAACTTGAAGACAGACCCCCAGGTAGAACTAACTCTAGTGGCTAAAGGGCTCTTGCAACTCGAAGACAGGACCTTATGGGTATAGCTAACTCTAATGACTAAAGGGTTTTGCCATTCGGCCACAAGGGTAGGGATTAATTAAATTTGGAATTGGAGAAAAAAATGGTGCAATTGAAAACCCTAATTAAACCTAATTAAGTAGGGTTATTTTTGGACTTAAATGAGGTTTAAAGAGAATTTGTTAAAATATAATTAAGAGGTACTTAGCAAGGGGGGATAGTGACCACTTTGGTGGGACTAAAAATCACTTACCTTTGCTTTAGATCTGGAATGGGCCTAAATCACCAAATGGGCCCAATTTTAGTGGGCCTCAGAACGTGGGTTATGTTTCAGGCCATCAAGTGTCCAGGGCGTCTAACGAAAGGTTGAAGAAAAAAACAAAACCAAAAAAGGTTACCAGGCAAAGCTGCAGCCAGAAATATTCATGAAAATAAAAACAAAACAGGATATACGAAATGCAAGGCTGAGAAACAACGACCATTGTCTTTTTAGATATTGAAAACAGTAAATAAAATAAATGAATAATTAAATAAAAGCATCTTCTTATNGGATTAAATGAGGTTTAAAGAGAATTTGTTAAAATATATTTAAGGAGTATTTAGCAAGGGGGGATAGTGACCAATTTGGTGGGACTAAAAATCACTTACCTTTGCTTTAGATCTGGAATGGGCCTAAATCACCAAATGGGCCCAATTTTAGTGGGCCTCAGAACGTGGGTTATGTTTCAGGCCATCAAGTGTCCAGGGCGTCTAACGAAAGGTTGAAGAAAAAAACAAAACCAAAAAAGGTTACCAGGCAAAGCTGCAGCCAGAAATATTCATGAAAATAAAAACAAAACAGGATATACGAAATGCAAGGCTGAGAAACAACGACCATTGTCTTTTTAGATATTGAAAACAGTAAATAAAATAAATGAATAATTAAATAAAAGCATCTTCTTATTTTATATCAATTTGTTATCAGAAACACCTACCATGTTGATGATATGATGTACTTATTCAAGAAATGGCTTCGGCTTCGCTTTGTCTAAATTCATTATTAACGCTGCCACCTTCTTCACATAGTCGGAAACTAGCTGAAACTAGTTGTTGTTGTAGTTGTTTGAGAAATGGTAGCTTAGCAGGTGCCTTTAAGCCTATAGTTGTTAGTGGCAATCCCCCCACTTTTGTATCTGCTCCCGGTCGCCGTATTGTTGCTGGTTTGTTTCTTTTGCTTTATACCTTCTGTTCCTTTCTGGGGTCATCATTTTTTTTTTCCATTGCTCTCATTCTTCAATTCCTCTTGAATGTTGATTTCTGTAAGGAGAACTTACAATGAATGTTTTGTAGAATATGTGTTGACCAGCATTGAAAAAGCAAATGAAAGTATTACGAATGCTACTGGAAATAGAATTTTTCTCTGTGCAGAGTTGTTTTTTTGATATATTATTTATGAACACGGTCTCTAGATTTTGGTATATATATATATAAGGTGTTGTATGCTTTTCAATATTTTAAAAGTGTCATTCGTCTCCTTATACGGCTTGAATGTGCAGTTGGGGATCTACATGGAGACCTTGATCAAACAAGATATGCGCTTGAGATGGCTGGTGTCTTGAGTTCTGATGGTCAAGATTTGTGGACTGGTGGAGAAACGGTATCCCTTCTAAATTTAGTAATCAAGAAAGTACTTTAATTTCATATCGATTTTGTTCAATTTATGTAAGTTGCCTATGTTAACTTAGCTTTTCTATTACTTCTTGATAAATGTTAGACCATTACTTCAAAGTCTTAAATGAATTTGAGTACTTTACAATTAATAATAGTAGAGAAAAGTTGTTTATAAAATTGTTGATGTAATATACTTCAAGCAATTAGTTATGATATTGTGGTAGATGGAAATCATCCTAGCTGAAAAATAACAACTGATAATGATCTTTTTATTTGTGACTTAGGTATTGATTCAGCTTGGTGATGTACTTGATCGAGGTGAAGATGAAATAGCTATTTTATCCTTATTGAAGTCATTGGATATACAGGCAAAAGCTGAAGGTGGAGCAGTTTTTCAGGTTTGTGTTGTAAATATTTCTAGTCAATGTTCCAAACTATTTCTGACGTTCAAGAAATTGCTTTAAATGCAAAAAATGAAGTATCAATTGAAATATTGATGGTTTAATGGAAATCACATTAGATGAGCTTCAGGCCCACCTTAGTATGCATAAATCCTTCTGCATTCGTTATGCAAGTTTTCTTGTTATTGGTTTCACTTCAATTAGTTACATCTGAAAGATTATTTCTGAATTTTTCTAGCTTTCATTTGTGAAAATTTTATTAAGTATGCTGATGATGTAATTCTGTTTAATGTAGGTAAACGGGAATCATGAGACTATGAATGTTGAAAGGGATTTTAGATATGTAGATTCTGGAGGATTTGATGAGTGTGTTGATTTCCTGGAATACTTGAAAGACTATCATTATGACTGGGAAGAAGCTTTTGTTGGATGGATTGGTGCATCCAAAAGATGGAAACAGGACCGGAGCATGTCCAAAAACTATTGGGGACCATTGAATTTAGTAAAGGTACCAAATTATTTCCTGTTAATTTACTGTTCTATATGTTATAATTTTTTACGTATCAAAACAGTTCTACTCATCACTCACAGTTCTGTGAAGAGATTGCACGCGTAACTACTTGTTTGTAACTTGTGTTACTTATAGCACTTTTGGGAAAGAAGATTTCTATCTTTATTTTTTGGCAAATGAAATTTCAGTATTCTTCTGATAAAGTTTTCAAAATTTAGGACAGAGGCAGAAGGGGGTCATAGCCAGATCAGTCTTGTTTAGACCTGGTGGTCCGTTGGCACGTGAGCTGGCAAGGCATGCTGTTGTTCTTAAGGTTAATGATTGGGTCTTCTGTCATGGTGGCCTTCTTCCACACCATGGTATAATTGATTCTTCTTTTGGAGGAATCAGTTTTATTGTATCATCATTGCTTGTTAAGATACTCGTAAAAAGTTTTATCTTTCCTTGTTTGAAATGCCTGATAGGAGTGTTGGTGCTTCCACAGTTGCATATGGCATCGAGAAGATGAACAGGGAAGTATCTCACTGGATGAGAGGGCTTATTGAGAGTGATAGTAATGCTTACATACCTTTTATAGCCACCCGGGGCTATGATAGTGTTGTTTGGAACCGCTTATACTCCAGAGATTATTCTGATTTGGAGGACTATGAGATTAACCAGGCAAGGTTTTCTGCAGAATACTAAGTTTGTTTCCCCTTCTCTATTCAAGGACCGAGCTGGTTTAAAACTGACTTATGATGGGATGACTTGATGTTCAAACAATTACATGCATGAAGCATGATAAGTGTGGAAGGATCAAGAATTCTCATACACAGTCAGAATTTATTGTTGATTCGCCTGTCTTACATTTCAAACTTCCATGTGCTTTTGTTTGAATGAATGGTTTCTTACATTTTGGTGAAACTGGAATAATTTGAACTAAAATCTTGAGTTTACCAGATAAATACTATTCTTCAAGAGACACTGGAAGCTATAGGTGCAAAGGCAATGGTGGTGGGGCATACTCCTCAAACTGCAGGAGTAAATTGGTAACTGATCTGGCTTAACTGGTGACTTCTTCATATTGTGTTTATACTTCCAAAATCAGTTAGGATCCATCTTTGCAGTTGTGACTAAATTCTTATATCATGAAGTTAATTTTTGTATTTCCATGCAGTAAATACAATTGTAGTATATGGCGAATTGACGTTGGAATGTCCAGTGGAGTTCTTCATTCAAGACCAGAGGTAACTTCATTTATGGTGGAGCACTTTGATGGTATTAAAATTCCTACTAAGTATCAATCTAAGTCACTTTTCTAGGCAAGGATTCACAGTATACTCATATTCTACACTTGTGAAGTTTTTGGGAAATTACATATTGGTTTAAAGTTGTCTGAATTGACCTGTTGCTTTATTTCTGTCCTAGTTGATCCTGCGTCGACATTAGAAGCATTATTAATTTTCCCCCCCGGCAGCAACTGATTGAGTTTAGTAGTTCCTCATATAAAATTATTGACTCTAGAGATTCAATAATATGGAGAAGACTACGCTTGGGATAAGAGTTTAATGGTTCCCATGCATGTGGGACAATATGACTTGTATAATGATTTCTAGGACATGTTCATCAAACATATTTCAATTCCAAGATTTAATCTTCAAAATCCTACTAATTTCACTAATTGAATCCAAGTTGCTTCTAAAATCCATCATAGTATCTAACTTCAATCTAATTGTTTCTGGGAAGTTCCCCTTTCTGTTTATGTTTATTAAAAATATAATTAGGTCAATGAAATTTACAGTTTTGACTTCATTGTGCCAGGTCCTTGAAATAATAGACAATAAAGCAAGAGCAATAAGAAGCAAAAGGGGCACAGTAAATGAGCTTCACGTTGTTGATTATATATAGAAACAAGCAGATGAATCATTTTGGTATGGTAAATACTAAATACCCTATTCTTTAGTGAATTTCTGAAATATAAAGTCAAATGGAAGTAGTTTGATTTTGAATCATAGAAATTTTGTAAAATGAATCGTTTTCCTTGATGTTTCGTTGCTTTGAAATGTTGATAATTTTCTTTGATGTGTGTAGAGAACTGAGTTTCACTAACCAAATTTTGGATTTGGATGTTTTCATGTTGATTTTAAATTGGAGATGATTAGCAGAAAATATCATTGTCCCCTCAGTTTTGGTCATCGTTTCATCATGCCATGCCACTAACTTTTCCAATTCTTATATCTTTTTTAAAAGGCATGTCAACTGGATATGGGGGAACTAAATCCAATGTAGTTTGATTGTTTGAGTTACTTTTCTGTGTTTACAGGATATACTGGTAGCACTTTCAACTTTAACACAATTCATTTCATCTTGAATACTTATCATGCTTTGCATGAGAAGCATATATGTTTAAGGCTCTACAAAGGAAGGCTGTGTAAGTTTTGACAATCAGATACCACCAGGAAAGAGGCAAAAGTGACCTTTGTATGATACCCAGAACTGGAGTTGATTATGGCTTCATTTTGAACAAATATTGTTTGTACTCATATACTGAATTCATATCCCAGTTGTATAATAGGGTTACATTGTAGATTCATCACCCCACATAAACCAGACAACTTTGTCAGCTCAGTTTGGATTACTGAATGTGTTAAGAGCGTTGAATATACTTCCAATTAAATTTAATGTTAATATTTCTTTCGAAAATAATGTGTCATCATATTTTATCTGATAAATATTAAGGGAGCGTTTGGTTAGGGGTTATATAGGATTACTGAGGTTATGTTATCTTATATTACTTGATTATCACGTTTGATTCTAAAGTAATATAAGATTCCGATAATCTTCAAATACCAATAGTAGTTACTGTTGGTAATATTGGAGATAATATGATTACCTCAATTTTCTTTGGTATTGTAAGATTACCGAGATAATTTTTTCTTTTTGTTATAATTCTATTATTTATTAGTAAAATTTTAGGACAATAATGCCCTTATTTTTAAATTTATTTACATGAATCTTGTTTTTATTATTTCACTCCAATTAATTAACTTTTTGGACAAAATTACATTTGAAATCAAAACAAATTTCAGCTTACCCAAGCCACCACCCCTACCCCCACCCACCCACCTGTTGCCAGCCAAACCACCACCAACCGTCGTGGGAAGTCGTTGGAAGTCACCTAGAGTCGCGACGAGTAGCCCACCATCATCGGGAGGCTCTGATATGGTCGTTTTTGGCCATATTGATGGCCAAAAAGCCCATATCGGGAGCAGATTTGGTTCCGACCAAATTGATGGGTTTGGCTTTTAACAACTAGATCTATTCCTGCCAAAATAGATTTGGCCATTTTTGGCCATCAATATGGCCAGAAACGGCCATATCGGGGCCTCCCGGTCACGGTGAGCTACTCCAGGTGACTTTCGATGGTGGGTTGCGGTGGTGGCAGGTGGCAGCAAGGTGGTGGGGGTGATTTTGTTATAAATTAAAATTTTATATAAGCGGGAGTGTTTTAGCTAAATTTGAAATATTGGGGGTTAAACAATTTTATTTAAAAAGATGACAATTTAGTAAACCAATTTATTTGTTCCTACTAACATATTAATATAACATACCCATCTTATTCAAACTAACCAAATACATTTTCTTAAAGATTTCAATATCTTAAATAATATAAAATTTCAATAATCAACATTTTAGTAATTCAAATTCCATAATCAAACCACCTAAGGTTGTTTTGGGTTAATTAGTACTAGCAAGTCTTGCACTGCAAGCCTAGTATGCTTTTCTTAGTACCAAACGAACTTATTTTCAATTCTCTCGTGTAGTCGTGTCAAAGCTCTCAAGATTTTCTCATTAGATCTAATTCCCATGTGTTTTATGCACCATTTCTAAAAAAAGTTTCTTAAATGAAAGCTAATAAAACACTAGAAAATAACACAGGCCATAAATTAAGCTAAAAATGCAAATAAATATTAAGATTATTAAATATATATATATATATAATATATATATATGATATATATATATATATCATCTTTTTTATAATCTATCTGTAGATAGTCCAAATAATTAGGATGAGAATAAACACACAATCTCATGTTGGATTCCTATTTAAACATTCTGATTTAAATAAAGAATAAAAGCTTACGCTTCTTGAATCATGGCAATGGATATAACATGAAATGAGAATTAGTTGTAATTAGGTAGGAATTTGCATAGTAAACGAAGGTTTAAATGTGGGTGATGTGAAGGAATCCAAAAATGACAGTTGGCCTATTTGATTTGTGATATCTCCAACGTTCTGTTCATTGTCCAACTTTGTGAACTCCGCTATTTCATTCATTCCTCAGACTAGTACATAAACATAAACATACATGAACTCTCTGTTTCACCACCCTCTTATCTTGCGCACTCCCTCTTGTTCACACTCTCTGGCCGCCACTACAACCATGACTATGGCCGCCTCCCTCGCTCTACCTTCAATTTCTTTCCAAAAGCACTCTTTTTTCAATGGCTCTTCTACTGTTTCTTTTACTAAACTGGGAGCTCCACGCTTTGGTCGATCTGGGGTTTTTATGAGCGTCTCTGTTGGAAGTCAAACGCTTGTTGATGATGCCCTCTTTGCTGACTACAAACCCACCTCTGCTTTCTTGTTTCCTGGTCAGGTAATGTCTTACTGTTACTCCCAAGTTTAACTTTTTTTTTTTTTTTCCCCTTTTTTTAAATGGAAGATTCTGGCTCTGGTGCCGAGATATAAGCTTAATTCTCATCGATTATATTGAAATTTAATTGATTTGTAAACCATAAAGAAATATAATAATAACGGTGGGCTGTTATACAAAAAATAGAAGTAGAAAAACAAATGCTATATAGAGAGATTTTTTTTGGGACCTGTATAAAAAGTCAAAATTTCCATTTTAGTTTCTGCAAATTTTGTGAGGAGTTTTTATTTTTGGGGTCACGTTTATGTTTTTTTTTGTTTTAATGCTACATGAGGGAATATTTGGAGAAATGAAGTCATAACAACAAATGTTAGTTTAAAAATGTGATAGATCGGTGTTATTTTGGCAAATCTTGTAGCTGATTAGATGGAATTAGTTGGACATAGTTCTGTTGATTTTGTAATGCCAAACATATTCTTGGTTCAAGTCTTTCAGCTGTCCCGGAATGAATCTTTATGTGATGATAACTGTTTTATATATACTGACTAGGATAGTGGTGATTCTAGAAATCTCATCAGAGGAAACGAGCATTTTGAAGAGAAAATCTAATGAAAATATTATCTTACTTGAATAGATGCTTTATCTCTTGTCAGTTAAGTAGTAGCTAGAGGAATTTGTTTTCTGTCTGTAGTGTGCAGCTACGTGACACAGGAACTTCTGCTTAGTTCCATGCCCATTTTTCCTAGTAGTTGGCATCCATTGGCTTGTGTCATTGATTGGACCCTAGCTATGAGCAGGTTATCAAGAATAGATAAATTTATGACCACCTTTGCACGGAGCTCATTTTACCAGTGTCCTGTGGTAATTTAATCTTGTTAATTTTTTTTTCCTCCAATTACTGCCTGCAAGGATACTGACCTATAGTCTGGTTACTCATCATCCTATTTTGTTTTTGTTCTTGTATATTTACTGCTCATGTTGTGTCTCAGGGTGCACAAGCAGTCGGAATGGGAAAAGAAGCCCAGAGTGTGCCTGCTGCAGCAAAGCTGTACGAGAAAGCAAATGATATCTTAGGGTAACTTAAATTTTTAAATTTTTGTTACTTACTGAAGAAAATCTTTTTTTTTTTGATAAACTCTGTAGTATGTGGTTCTAAATTAAAATTCTGGTCAACTCTATGTCCTGTCCAAAAATTTTCATGTTTAGTCAAGTTATGCAAGATGCTTTTTGTTGGTAATATGTATCCTGTTTCATACAGGTTTGATCTTCTAGAAATTTGCACCAATGGACCAAAAGATAAGTTAGATTCAACTGTTATAAGCCAGGTATTTTGCCTTGTTACTTCTCCTTTATATCATTATTGTCTCTGCTATGATTTATTCACTTTTTGCCTTTGAAAATGAAAAACTGCTCTAGAAATAGTTTTGTGGTGTTAGCAGACTTTAATTTACTAATTTTGGACATGTAACATGTTTGTTCTTGTACCAATTGCAATCATAGAATTATAGGTTCCATATGATTTATCTTCAGTGAGGATCAATCGTGTTGATCAATTGGGTTCCAGACCAACAGAAAGATCATTAATATAACAATTATATGCTCATTTTAAAATTTTGTGATGCCATCAATTTCGAAGATTAAGTTCATCTCCATTAGTCAATGTTTGAAATCATTAAGACCTGTACCCTTTTCTTCCTTACCTCATGGGAAACTCTTTTGTCTATCAGGAAGCATTACCAGTCTTTGAAATTTTTATGCTGTTTAATGTTGGAGATATTTAGTATTATACACTCTTTCTGGGGAATAGAGTTATCCGTTAATGTTCATAAATCAGTAACTAACTCTGCATCTTTGCAGCCTGCCATCTATGTCACAAGCTTAGCGGCAGTTGAGCTGCTCCGATCTCGTGATGGAGGCCAACAAATAATTGATTCTGTTGATGTTACATGTGGTCTGAGTTTGGGTGAATATACTGCTCTAGCCTTTGCTGGAGCTTTCAGGTGGGTTATCTTAATCAGCAAATTTATGATCACAGAAGCATATTATCTTCTTTTCTATGGTGAAGCAACATCATGACGATTTGTTTATGTAGAACAAATTTAGTAGCTTCTTGTATAATCCATTGAGCCCCTTCTACGCATTGATTCTGAACATTGAATTTGAAAGCCCCTTCTACTCTAGATCCGTTGAGTTGACTACATAACAGGGTAATTGTTGGGATCTGCCTCATGAAAGCAAAGATCCCCCTTGTCTAATCTATGGGCAACGGGAAGCACCATATTGTTCCTCTAATGCACCATTTAGTCGTTGTAGATAGAATGTTAGTAAATCAATATGCCTAGTGGACAATAAATGACAGAATGGTACCTATCATTTACATTCTTAATTTCTTGTATTAATTTTGCCTCTTCTTTTTTGAATTTTTTTCCATCTATAAGCTTTGAGGATGGACTTAAGCTGGTCAAACTAAGGGGAGAAGCTATGCAGGTAATTGTATTATTAGCTAAGCGATGTCTTAATTTGTCACTGTGGCAGTGATGCTCACATAAATGTTAGCAACTCTTTTGGTAATTGTTTCTTTGCAACTCCCTTCAGGAAGCTGCTGATGCTGCTAAAAGTGCCATGATCAGTGTCATTGGATTGGATTCAGACAAGGTTCAGCAGCTCTGTGATGCAGCCAATCAAGAAGTAGATGAAGATGATAAAGTTCAAATTGCAAATTATCTGTGTCCTGTGAGTTTCTTATGCATTTTTTTTTTTCAAAAATCTAGTCAGATATTTTGTTTTTACTTTAATAATTATGATAGATTTTGACATGAAGAGAATTGTACTTTAATAGGGGAATTATGCAGTCTCTGGTGGTGTTAAGGGAATAGAAGCAGTAGAAGCCAAGGCCAAGTCATTCAAGGCTCGAATGACGGTAATTTTCTTCTTAACTTAGTCTTGCCTATTGCCGTTCTTGTACTGGCAAAGGACTGACATTCCTTCTTCTCAGGTACGTCTTGCTGTTGCGGGTGCTTTCCACACTGGTTTCATGGAACCGGCTGTCTCAAGGTTGGAAGCTGCACTGGCAGCAACCCAGATCAGAAGTCCAAGAATACCAGTAATATCCAATGTCGACGCACAGCCACATGCAGATCCAGATACGATTAAGAAGATATTAGCTCGTCAGGTATGCTATCCAGAATTCACTACTTGTTTCACCCATTACAAGATTGAAACATTAATGAGTCTCCAAAAATGGCCATCACAGGTGACTTCTGCTGTCCAATGGGAAACAACAGTGAAGACTCTTCTCTCCAAAGGGCTGAAGAAGAGTTATGAATTGGGATCAGGAAAGGTATGAGCAATCATTCCAGTACTCAAAGTAAACAAATGAATATAACAATTTCATCTTATCACTCTGGTTTCTCAACTTTTCAGGTTATTGCCGGCATTATCAAGAGAGTGGACAAAAGTGCAGAGATTGAAAACATTGCTGCTTAAAAAAATTTCGAGTATGAGAGACCAATTTCAAGATTTAGTCAACTATTTGTTTGTAACATTAATATAATGTATTAGGTGAGAATAATAATATATTTCTTTGTAAACTCAAATCATCAGTTTCCAGAATCATTTTCACATAAACAAGACTTCAATAACAAATGATAATTATACAAAACACGGATACCATAACAAAGCCTGGCAATGCAGAATTCTGTTTTTAAGTGGTGGGCGGCTGAGGTGGCCCGATTCTCCTGAGTTGATCTATCCATCGCTGTTCAGGAACGTGATTGGTCCAATCAGGAGCCGAACCGCCAAACGAAATGCCGCGCATAGCTTCCATTACTCTTGTCGCGTTCTCTTCACTCAACGGAGCATTTCTTCTATTCTCATCCTCTCTAAACGCTCTCATTATCGCCGTCTCAGACTCCTCTATCATTCTCTCCTCTTCTTCGTCTTCGCTTCCGCTCTTCTCGTTTACATCCATCCTCGACACTCCATTCTCCGTTACATTAACATAATAACCGTTCGGAAGGCTATGAATAGAACCGTTGGATGCCTCTGAGCTCACTTGATCTGAATCGGAATCGGAATCATCAACGGCCGAGATCGGCTGGTAGTATTCCGGTGTATCGCCAGTATTTGTGTCCGAGTCGCTTCCATCGTCGATCTCTGATGATAAGCCAGCTATGAGTTAACTAGAGCTGAAGTTAATTAAAAAACATGAATATATATAAGTAAAAACCATAAATTGTACCATGAATGATATCAGTTGAAGTAGCGTTCATTGTCTGTTAAGTTTCAATCTCCAGTCGCCAGAGACACTGGGAGGTCGACAGACTTGTAGCAGAGAAATCACAAAATTAAGAAGATCAATTATGATGAAACCACAAAATTAAGAAACATTATGATTAAACCACAGAATCATCCAAATATATGATTCACCCACAAAACTAACCGAATCTATATAATAGACCACAGGTTTAAGCAAAATTATGATACGAGCCACACAATTAAGCGAAATTAATATAACAACAAACTTTAGCAAAATATGATTAAGCCACATAATTAAGCAGAATTATGATTAAACCAGAGAATCATGAAAAATTAGGATTAAACTATAGGTCTAAGCAAAATTGCTATGAAACCAGAGAACTATAAAAAATTACGATTAAACTACATAACTCAGTAAAATTATGGTCAAACCACAGAACTAACTCAACTAAGAGATGTGATGATGCCACAAAACTAAGAAAAATTATAATTAAACCACAAACTATGAAAAATTATGATAAAACCACATAACTAAGAGAAATTACGATGAAGCCAAAAATACGAAAAATTACGATGAAACCCCATAACTAAGAAAATTTATGGTTTAACCCTAAAAATGAAGATTTTGCACCAGCCGGGAATCGAACCCGGGTCTGTACCGTGGCAGGGTACTATTCTACCACTAGACCACTGGTGCTTGTTGCCCTTCTTGGGAGCTCAATATTAATCTTAAGATTACTTGAAGTAATATTGCTTCTTTCAAGCTTCGTCCACATATCCAGAGCAGCTAGCAGCGGGCTCCCACTCTGCAAAATGGCGATTCCAATATTCAGAGGCTTATCTGGTCCACTCTATTATTCCTTAGATAGAAGAATTTCAGTTCCCAAAAAGAGTAGGTTGCTTTCTTCCGCTTCCTCTCAACTCAATCCACTCCAGTCTGGGTGAGCTTACATCAATATCCAACATATCCTATCATTCATGTATTTAATTGTTAAGTGTATTTACAAACGAACCACTCTTTCCATATAGTTTATTCATATATATACATGTCTTCATTCTTCATAGCATAACCTCACACTAATATTTGTTTTTAGTTGCCTCTAATGTGTGTAACCCTGATGAAACAAAGGGGGTTGACTTTTTTTTTTTTTTTTTTCAAACGGTTGTTAGGTCAGAGGTGTCATTTCGTGTTGGCACTCACCTCATTCCACACCCCAGTAAGGTAGTGTACTACTTTTACACATTGCTTGTTATGTGGCTGGAATTGACCTTTGGTGAAGTAAATATCATGTCTTTCCATGATTATATATACTTCCAAGTTTTGGTCTTTGTGAAGGTTGATAGAGGAGGGGAAGATGCTTTCCTTGTTAGCAGCTATAATGGGGGAGTGATTGCTGTTGCTGATGGTGTCTCTGGGTATGACACTCGCATTCTACTCATTGAATCATCTACTGTATCAACTTTATAAATTTGGGTTCTCCCAAATGGGAAGTAAATGTATTTGCTTTTGGTGAAGTTTTATTATGTCAGCCAACATCTGTTTCACATATATGACCTACACATATGAAGCTGTAATAATAATAATTCATAGTAGTGCAAGAACATATCAAATTATGTCAGTAGACTTGTAAGTCCAGTTGTGAATTCATAATTTGGTTTACCAGTTATGAGCAAGTGGAAATATCTTGAATTTTGAATTCTTTTCATTTCATGTTTGCCAGGTGGGCTGAACAGAATGTGGATTCTTCATTATTTTCTCGGGAATTGATGACCAATGCTTCATACTTGGTCGAGGATGAGGAGGTATTGTTTTCTGTAATAAATCTCGGATAAGACATCATTTTTACAGTCACATAGTCATTGCTTCATTCAAAACCTGAGAGGCTGGAGTTGTGTCAATTAAAATTTTTGATTGTCCAGAGTCATAATTTCTAATTGAATTGATGGGTTGCACATATCTTTTTGTTATCTAACAAAGCTGAGGTTTGTTAATCATTCACCAGGTTAACTACGATCCTCAGATTCTTATACAAAAAGCACACACAGCAATGTCATCCATTGGTTCAGCTACTGTGTAAGTTTATAATACCTTCAAGTTGTGTCCTTGTTATAAATATTGTCAAAAGTGTGCTAGAGTATGGCCATTTCCATGCACATACAGCTTAGACCAATAATATTATTTTTACTTCATAAACCCTTTCCTATCAAAATCATTATTTACTTCAGCTTTCCTCTTGACCAAGTAGAATCGTTGCCATGCTGGAGAGAAATGGAATTCTGAAGATTGCTAATATTGGGGATTGTGGACTAAGGATTATTCGTGAAGGTTATAATGACTGTCTTTTTTCATTGCAGTTTTGAATATTTCATGTCTCTTTTATCATTTTTCCATCGATTAGTTGCGTAAATAACAATGGAATAGCTTGGTTACTTTGCATGGTCAGGTCAGATAATTTTTTCTTCTTCTCCACAAGAACATTATTTTGACTGCCCCTATCAACTAAGCTCAGAAGCAGTTGGCCAAACATACCTTGATGCCATGGTATGATATTTATTTAGTTAATATGTTAGCATTTGAATAAAATGTGTAATAAGTTGTCTATTCTATCATCTAGTAGTCTACTGTGTGCATTTATCACACTGTAGCCTTTTATTTTAATGTCAACTTCAGTTGAAGCCCGTGCACATTTGGACCTAAATGGTATCATCCCACTTTAATTGTATTTACAACTTTCTCTGACTTTAAACAATGCTTACAATACCTGTGGGCAACAATGAATTACATATCAGTGCTAACAAACATTGGTGTAAACTAGGGCTGAAGTGAGACTTATGTATTTGTTTGTAACATCTCTGCCATAGATCTGTCAATGTGCATTGGTTTGCATAACAGAAAGAAAGGGAAAAAAAGGTTACCTGAGTTTCAAATTTTGATATTTCATGATCCCTGTCACTATGATTATCAGCTACTCTTTCGAAAAACAGGTTACTTGCATAGAATTGACTGAGGGAGACACCATAGTGATGGGTTCAGATGGGCTTTTTGACAATGTATTCGACCATGAAATTGTTTCAATGATGGCCAAATTCAGTGATGTTGCTGAGACTGGTATATGCTCATAATTTGGTTCATTTATCAGAAGATTAGCAACTCAGTAGTTGATACCTCATTGACTGAGATCTAATTTCGATGCTAGCAAAGGCATTAGCTAACCTAGCACGCAATCATTCAATGGATTCCAACTTTGATTCTCCATATTCAATGGAGGCCAGAGCTAAGGTAAAATTATCCAAAAGCATAAATGCTCACATATAGATGCATCTTCTCAGTGAAGATAGTAATTTTATGCCTTAATATTCCTGTCTGTGCAGGGCTTTGATGTCCCTTTGTGGAAGAAAATTCTTGGGCTGAAGCTTACAGGCACCAGTTATTTGCTTTGAAATATGATATATATTTCCTTTGTTCTTGATACCATTGCTGATTGGAATATTTTCCCTTATATAGGTGGAAAGCTGGACGATATCACTGTAATTGTCGGTCAAGTTGTGAGTTCAGGAGACACTTTGATCTCCTAAACGAGGTCCAGAGATTGGAGCACCAAATGAATATCATAATTTATTTGCAGAAGAGCTGTTTATAGTCATTCTTACAAAACCACTGTGGTAACTGATAATAGCTGATTATTGGCATATTAAATTAATAGCGTACATGTTTCTTCTTTAACTTCTTTCACATAAATTGTACATGTGGCTGTAAATTTTATGTTTTTAAAGATGTTTCACTGTGGAAATTAGAGAATATAACTAATGGGAGGATCAAGAAAGCTAGAATTTTAGAATTTGACAGATGTCTAATGCACGTCCGTAACGTAAGTAGAAGTTCACAATAGATGTTAGTTACTTTCGGCATAGGTGTCCGTATCTAAATGAGATGCCTTTGTAGTCGAATAATTCTAAGTGGTCTCCTCGAAGCAGACATGAAAATACCATGATAAAAGTGGTTCCCAGTGATGGCAAACACTTTGCATCTAGCAACATTTGCTCATCTTCTTGCCTACAATACACAACTATGATTCCAAACAAAAGGAGCTTTCCCCTGTTACCCATTGATAGTCTGGCACTCCAGCGAACCCTTAATGCCGAAGGCAAGCTAATAAGCTCATTATTGGTTTCTCAGGATTGATTATGTACATAAGCAAAAAGATTCAAGTACCAATACCCTAAGCTATTCTAATTTCTAAATTCAATCAATCACAGCATTGTTTAAGGAGATAAACACTATCACCTGCATTAGTCAGTAGTGTATGATTCTATATCAGTAGTGTATGATTCTATATGCAGGTAGGTGATCAAACACTATCAGAGACTCAAGATACAATAATGGAAGTTAAAATGCCATACAAGCATGTAAATCTAATAAGACTGCTTCAAGATCATCATTAAGATAAAAAAAATGATATTATTAATCAGTAAAAGGAAATTCCATTACATATAATCTACGCATAGAATCAGTTCAAAGTAATTAATAATAACATTATATTAATCTGGCATCTAATAGATTACAAGCCAACAGTTACCAACAATTTGGTGACAACACCCACGATTCCCTTCTCCTTAAATATCAATATCCAGAACGAATAATGCCTTCTCTTTAAATATCAATATCCGCAGCAACGAATCAAAAGTTTCTGTTGCCTTTTTAAACCTACACCGTCCACTAACCCAAAATCAAAAATCATTGCACAGAATGACTCAAAAGGGGTTTCATGAAAAACAAAAAAAAATAAATAAATAAATAAAGCTATCTAGAAAAGAAAATCTCAGACATTTCTCAGGCAAAGGTAACAACAATGTGTACAACTATAAGAAATTATGGTCTGAAAAATCAACTCAGGTTCCTGCCGCTGATTAAATAACCATGTTGAAATCTGCAAGACGCATCTTAGTCTTTGCTTATTCATTCCTCGTGTGAAGCTCTCATTCTTTGCTTATACATGGATATTTTGTTACAACTTCAACATTATATTTGTGATTATTGTTCGAGGAAATTTAGGTGATAATGCTGCTGCTACTACTATCATTATGTTCCTGGAAAAAGGTTTTACAGGCTTCATATGTGGACCAACAGATTGCAGCAGCAGGAGCATGGAAAAGCATTCTCGGAATCCATCCTCTCATCAGCCCTCTGTATCCATCCTTTTTCACTATTGTTTGAATAACATCACTGATTGAACTGTTCTGAAATCTGTCGCATCCGCATACACCCTGAACGACAAGTAACGCTAGTAAATAAAACAATCTTACAACTCCCATAATACAACCAAACAACTTTTCAGATTGAACCCTATAATTGAAGAACATATGTTGAAATTATAAGTATCGGTATATGCCGAGGCATGTATCTAATTGTTGCAACAACACCACCTTACATGCTGTTGTCACCATCCAACCCCGTCAGGCCAAGTTAAAATCAAGCGGGAAACATATGGGTCTAAACTTTATACTTGAGCACACCATGAGTTTCAATGAATAAGTATAATTAATTCGCTAAGCTATCCCAAATACAAAGTAAAGGAACTAAAAAAGACATTCCATGTGTTCTAAATCATTAAAAAGGATGACCCTCAGAGGAAGACAAAAAAAAAAAAAAACAAACTTTGTGAAAAAGAGAAAAGTTATCGTCCAAAAAAAATTATGAATAAACCCTTTTGTTAAGACTTAACCCAATGCGCAATGAAATATAACATTCTAATGCCTGTTCAGGCTATAAAGGCTTTTCCATAACAACTTCAGTATACCAGTCTAATTGCAACAATCTATGGCGAGCACACAGTCCAACCAAAGTCTCCTTTTTTTCATGTACTCAAAGCGTAAGGCACTGCTCTCACTGCTTAAAAAAATTGATTCAAAGGAGAAACTTCATTGTTAGCTTTTACTATATCTCTAAATAATTAAAAACTAAGAAAACCAGGTCCTTGGAACTATACAAATCTATAGAACTGAATAAAATTCACTACATTAAACATATAAAAAAATTAACAAACAAACAACGACCAATAAATAACCAAACACGGCATAGCAAAATTACCTGACACTGTAATTGAGTTTTGACAACGTCAAGCGGCGTCGTAACAGCCGCCGCCAGCGCTCCAGCCGCAGCTCCAGCAGTAGCATGAACCGCCAAACGCTCATCACTTGCACTCTCCGGAGAAATCTCATTTAAACCCTTCTTCGTGGCTTCATAAGTCGCGAAATGCACAGCAGTAAACGGCGCGTTCATCAACACCGTAGTCCTATACGACGCGTAAAACGCGCCAAAACCTTCCTCCCTCAACACTCTCTTAACACAATCCCAAACGCCTTTATAAGTACTATTACCCAACTGCAGTCTCTGTTTCACCATATCCATTGGCGTAAAAACGGCGTCGCTCGCCACAGTCGCGAACACTCCAGAAATCGCATGGGCCGCCGAGTTGTTAGGGTTCCCAGCGGAAAAATACTTTTTCGCAATTTCGTAGACAGAGAAGTAAACGGCGTGAGCCGGACCGGCGCCGAGGCCCATGGCGGCAATGCCACGGTAGAGCGCCGATGGACCCTCGATTTTTATTATTGATTTAATGGCTTGCCGCAGACCGACCGGTTTGATGGGACAAGGCCTTAGGGCTTGCATATGTGTCTTGACAGTGTCGACCGGGAACATGGCCATGTGTTCGACCGAACCGGCAATTGAACCGGCGATCATGAATTGCCAGTAGCGGAGGCCATCGTGGGAGGTTACAGGGAGATCGGGTCGGAAATCGGGTCGGAAATCCGGGTTTTGAAATTCGGCAGTGGTAGCTTCCGTGGCCATTTGAAAAAGGAGAAACAATTGATGTTAGTTTGTGATGGTGAAGAGAAGGTAGAAAAAATAGGGTTTTGGAATAGAGCTAGATGGGTTGCAGCCATACAAAGATTTGTGTCATGGGAAGAGAAGAGAAAATTGAATTGAAGTTTTTGTTAAGAGTTGGGAGAAGGTTTTAGGATGGCGTTTTGACAAGTAGCTGGTTAGGGCTCCAAAAAAATTGGGGCAAGGAAAGTATAATTAAATATCTGTTATTTATTCATTTTTAAATCAAATTATAATTATAAATTTACCATTTATTAAACCATAATTTTTTAATTTAAATTGGAATATAATATTTTTATTCACTTAGAAAATGTCAAAATATGTATAGGTGCTAGTTTTGACTTTTGATTGCCCACAATCTTAGGAGATGGGCTCCTATGTCCAAATTTAATGAACAAAACTAAGACTTTTCAATCCAAATCCAAACCAATTCTCATAATTAAACAAAACAGATGACAAATCCCAGAAGAAACCAATTCTGCCGAGTCCAAATTAGACTATGACCAATTTAGCCATGGCCTAAGAATGACAATTTGTTTCAATGCTGATGATGCATGTAACAACAATGTAGATAAGTTTTGAAACAAGCAGCCAACATAAACCGCCCAAACCACTATTGGATGGTCAATTATAATTCTTGGATGTATTACTCAAAAGGTTCTGAGTTCGATTAACCTCTACGTCTACTGGAGAGGTCCCAGAGGATTACTTGAGGTGGGCTCAAGAATTAGAGACTTATCCAGTCGTTAACTTCAAAACATACCGCAAACTGGTCTGGACACTCTGTCCAAATCACAAAGATACAATAGTTTCATACATATGGATGACATTTTCACATATTTCCTGTAGCTGTTTTGCCCTTTCTTCATTTCTTTGACTTCAATGTTCCCCAATCTATAAACTTACGCACAAGCCCCATTATTGCTTCTCTTGTCACCAAACTTCCACCCTTACCTCCTTTCTACTCTCCAACCGGTTTAAAATCTTCCTCAATCAACCTACTGTTTGTCATTTGGTCCATTGCTATGGGGAATGTCAGAAAAGGAACTCCTGCAAAACACCTTCTCTAACAAATTCCATCCGCAATGTACCAAATCCTCCTATACAAGGATGAGAACACCTTCATTGGTCACACCAGGAACTACAGTCCCATTTTACCACAAGCCTCTTCAATTTACTTGTTTCTCCACGGAGTACCCACAGAACCTAACCACCACTACTCCTCAAACCAGCAGCAATTTCTTCCATTTGAGAGCCTGAAACCGAAGAAAACTTCCGAAAGAGACATAAAGAACTGAACTGTTAGGTTTCTGTTTAGCCAATCAATGTAATTGATTTCGTTGTGGGTAGGAGTAATAGAGGAATTATCTCCAAGCTTGAACCAAGGTATAGCAGGGCCAACAGTGTAGATGGGTAACAGAAACTTCGCTCTTAAAACATCAATGGCACAGGGTTCTAGCTCATATATTGAAATGTATAAGAGATATTGTGCTTTATGCACCCACGAAATAATCCTATAGAATTGCTGCACTCTACATGGGTAATTAAGGAATAAGAAATGTTAGTTTTACAAACACACATACAAAGGAGACATACAAAGACAATTTCCACCCTTGATTTTCATGATTTCTCTCTCTCTCTCTCTCTCTCTTTTTCCGTTTTTTCTTTGTTTTTTTCTTCTTACTGATGTCACTTTATAGTCTTCTTTGTATGGGTCTTTGTAAGGATAACATTTTTTTTAAGTAATATAAGGTCACCCTAAACTCTATATTTGAATTAATCACTTCTTTGTCTACACATTGAACGAGACTGATTAACTTAAGCGGTGGCTTGGTAGAAGGGGGGGGGGGGGGGGGGGTGGAATGGGGGAATCCTCGGGGTCCTTGAATACCCTACAAACACAAAGAATTAAGTAAGTCACAAAGTTGTAGGTGACCTCAGGTTTAAATCCAAGAAGTCAACGACAGAAGCAAACCTCTTTGACCACTAGGGCAACCCATTAGGGTTATATGTGTCAATATCAAACTCTTTATTTATTTATTTATCTATTTTTTGCTAAGTAAATTGTATTAAAAAGAAGAGGGATTTACAAAGGCCTACAAAAAAGGTGGCCAACCTACATCGGGACATCCCTCGCATAGGGTGCAAAAAATAAACAAATGCCTAAATTTTGACACTACAAAATTCTCTTGGGAGCTTGTCTAAACCAAGAGAAAAGGGAGATAAGACCCAAGAGAAAGAATCTAGCTAAGAAATGAACAACAAAACACCACCCTCATGACAATCCCCTAGGTTTGGCTCCAAAAAAACACATACAATGAGACACAAAGAAGACTCAAGGCAAAGAAAACAAAGAGAGTGAGGATACATCACAAAAAAGTCTTCATAATAACAACAAGCAAGTCAGTAAGTCTCTCGACGAAAAAACAGTATCTCACCCAATCACATGGTCATCATGCACCACAACAAACTCTTTATGTTACTGGTCCCATTATAATAGTTAATATTTATGGCTTCGTTTGGTTCAAAATTGGGAATACTATTAGTATTCCCAAAAAAGTTAAACAGTAAAATACCCAAAAATTCTCATTTTTTGGAATACTACTTTCAATATTATTCAGTTTTTTTTAAACCCTCTAAATTTGTTAATTTAATTAAATACCCCTAAACTTTTTTTAAAATTACAAAAACACCCCAACAATCCACATTTACCAGATTCCGGCCACCACTACCGGAAAATGGCCGGAATCTGGTAGGATGGCGCACTACCGGCTGAATCTGGACGGTAGTGCGCCGATCTAGCTTTTTCCGACTAGATCCACGAAATCTAGACGGTAGTGCACCGATCTAGCCTTTTCCGGTCAGATCCACGGTGGATCTGGCAGAAAAATGCCAGATCTAAGGCCAAAGATCTGGCTGTTGACGGCCAGATCTTTGGCTGTAACAGTCGATCACGACGACCAACAAACGGTCGTCGTTTGTTGGCCATCATTGAGAGCAAATACGCCAGATCTAGCCGTAGATCTGGCCTTTGCCGGCCAGATCCACCCTGGATCTGGCCGAAAAAGGCCATATCGGTGCATGATCGGCAAGATCCAGCCGATCATGAGCCGATAAGGCGACTCCGGCCACCTCCGGTGGTGGTGGCCGGCTGGGGGTATTTGAGGGTGGGTTGGGGGTGTTTTTATTAACTTTTAATGTTTTATTATAGGGGGTATTTTGTAAAAAAATAAATATAGGGGGTATTTTATTAATTTATAAATCCTACATCGTAATACCAGCCCAATTCAACTTTTTTTTTAACTTTTTTCAAAAAACTTTTCCCAAAACCCCCAAATTTTGAACCAAATGAAGCCTATATATTTGATCTCTTATCAATTGATGCTTCATTTTGCCCTGTGTAAAGTATGGGTGGGCAAAATTTTAGGGTAGAACTGGAACCGACGGGTACTCGGGTATTGGTTTTGGTTTCTACCCAGAACCGACCGTAACAAGGTCGGTTCTGGTTTGGAAAAATTGGAACTTATATTGTACGCTTCTGGTTCCAAATCAAAGAAATCGAAATCGAGAACTCGGACTAAATTGAGATAATATTAAAGAATGGGATTTTTTTTTTTTTTTTGATATTTTGCATGTTTTAAATATATAAGAAAATTTTGGTTTTTTATCTTAGTATCAAAAGTCTTATTAATTTCCTTAAAAGACTTCAAAATATTCTTATTAATTTAATTTTTAAACTTCACTTGTTACTTAATTAAGAAACTAATATACATTAAGACATTTATGTTAAATAATAGTTTTTAAATGTTTATTATCGGTGAAAACAAATAATTAAATACTTATAATCAAACATCAAGTAAATATAAATAAATATATTATTTAATGTTTTGCATTTAAGTCTATCTAGTAGTTAGACATATTCAGTTATCACATAAATTATCAAACACCACTTAAGTGAATTAAGAAAGTTAATTTTTTTTTTTACTTTTTATTCGATGAAAAATCTATGAATAATTTATTTAAATTATTTTGATAATATTATTATTATTTAGTAGCAACAACTACGCATATGTCCAATTAAATAACTCTTTTTATACTTACATCATATGCCAATACTTTTTCACTTTAAAATCTCTACTTTTTAGCATATTATATTCTTCCATAGAACATTACAATTCAACTTGGTATTTATATTTAAGTTTAAAAACATAAAACATTGTTTAAATTGTATTACATAAAAATTATTTAAATAATAATACAGTTAACATTATGTGAGCATATATATCATAATAGAATTTTGGAAGGATGAAACTTGATATGTTATTAACTTATTATGTTATGTTATTTAATGTGTTATGTAATTTTAATTTTGGGAGGATGAAATGGATATTAGGATAGTTGTAATTTTTGTAAAGTCCGCACGGTGTATTTGCCATTTCAGAAAACTGTTAGAGGTGTAATTATAGTTTTTAAGGGTTTATTTGTCATTTTTTTAAAATTTGGGGGGTAATTTATATTTTTTTTGATACCCGAAACCGATTCCACTTCAAGCTCCAAATCAAAGGAACTGGCCGGTTCCTATTCCTTATTTCCTTTGCTTTTAGGCGGGTACCTGGACCCGCCCACCCCTAGTGTAAAGTTTATCCATAGGCATTTATTTTTTCAGCTGGGACAATAACAACACAAGTGAAGAACTTGAAGACCAAGACGGAGTCCGGTGCACTTTATATCAAGACTGGGAATGTAGGTAACAGATTGTAGAAATTGATCAGATAGATTTTACCCCTTTTAAAACAATATCATGATGCAAAACAATCTCATATATACCTAACCATCGTAAGACACAAAAAACGATGAAATTGCTCCAATCCAAGAGATTTTGTGTTTTACCACATGGTCAAATTCACAAGTTTCATACAGATGAATCATGAATATTTTTGGAGGCAGCTCTATGCCCACTGAGAATATTGAGCAATGTACCGAATGAAGGATTTGGTGCTTCTGCAATTGCATTTTCATATAATTCCTGGAGATTTTTCGCCCTTTTCCTCATTTCTTTGACTTCGATGCTTTCCATATCCACAAACTTCCGCAAAAGCTCCATTATTGCATCTCTTTTCACCAAAATTTCCACCCTCCTCGTCTCCTTTCTAACTCTCCAACCAATTTTAAAATCTTCCTCGATTGACTTACTATTTGTAATTTGGTCCATTCCTATTGGGAATGACAGAAAAGGCATTCCTGCAAAAACACCTTCTCTAATAGAATTCCACCCACAATCTGTCCAAAAGCCCCCTACACAAGGATGAGATAACATCTTCAATTGGTCACACCAGGGAACTATCAATCCCATTTTACCAAAACCCTCTTTTAGTTTACCTGTTTCTCCACGAACTACCCCCAAGATCCTAACACCGCCACTGCTCGAACCAGCTGCAATTTCATCCATTTGAGTGCCTGAAACCAAATGAAAACCTCCAAAAGAGACACAAAAGAACTGAATTGTTAGGCTGATTGTTTAGCCACTCTATGTAGTTGATTTCATTGTGGTTAGGACTTAAAGATGAATTGTCTCCAAATTTGAACCAAGGTATAGAAGGGCCAGATGGGTAGATGAGTAATAGAATCTTTGCCCTTAAAGCATCAATAGCATAGGGTTCTAGCTCATAAATTGAAGTGATTAAAAGATATTGTCATTTATGCTACCACGAAATAATCCTATAGATATTGTCATTTATGCTACCACGAAATAATCCTATAGAATTGCTGCAACATATATGGGTTTACTCCACTGATATGCAACGGAAAGTCCATCAGACGTGTTGAAGAAACTCCTGGGATGTAGTCCACACGTTCTTCGCCCTTTTCTATAAAAAAAGGTACGGAAAGAAAGTCAATTTAGTTATTATATTGTCACTAACTAAAGTTGATCTATGAGTAACATAACTAATAAGATATTAATACTGATTATGTTCAAAGAGGTTGTCAGTTACATACACTAAAGAATTCTATTTGTGGCTTTGTCCTTTTAAAATGTCCCGGATGAATGCATTAAGGTTGATTACAGATGATCCACCTTCACCTTCCGCAATTGCACCATGACAGGTATCTCTTACTTGTCTTACATTTCTTCTCATTTCTTTTCCCTCATTGCTACTCAAATCCATAAACCTTTGTACAAGATCTGAAATTTCCTCTCTTGTAACTATATTTTGACTTCCAATCTCTTTCTTCACTCTCCACCCAATTTTCCAGTCTTCCACAATTTGGTTACTATTAGGATCTTGATCAAAGCACAGAGGAAATGTAAGCATAGGAACTCCAGCAAATACAGCTTCGAGCGTAGAATTCCATCCACAATGTGTCCAAAAACCCCCCACAGAAGAATGGCATAACACCTTTAATTGGTCACACCAGGGCAGTACTAACCCTTTATGTCCACAAATTTCTTTCAACTGAGAAGCCTCTCCACGAGTCACCCACATGAAACAAACACTACTAGTTTGCAAGCCAGCAAGAATTTCATCCATTTGGGCACTTGAAACAGAGAGGAAGCTGCCTAATGAGATGTAAAGAACAGAATCTGCAGCTTTAGAATCTAGCCATCTTATATAGTCAGGTTCATTGGCACTATTACAATTACTTCCAAAGGCGTCATTTTTAAGTTCTAGGTAAGGTATAGCAGGACCAATATGGTAGACAGGAAACGGAAAAGCTGATATTAAGTTGTTGGTAACTTGCGGTTCAAGCTCGTAGATGGAAGTGAATAGAAGATATTGTGCTTTTGGCACCCTTGAAATGCAATCCAGGAGAAGCTGCAAGACTCCATTGTCATTTTTGTGGAACACTGTTTTAAGGTCCGCTATATTTGATGAAGAAATTCCAGGGATGTAGTCCACATGATCTAACATACACAATGACACAATCTCAATCATTATTTTGCATTTAATAAAATTTTTAGCACAGAAACAGTAAATTCTGCTAGTTCTTATGTATATATATAAAGTTTGCATTTCAACAGTAAATTCAAAGTCCCCAACTAGACGATATGTAATATGCTGACGAGTTACTCTTACCTACCTGGCAGGTTCAAGACTGCAAGATGTTCTTTTGAGAACTGATAAAAATGATAGAGCAAAGAGAAATATAATGTTGACGCTGTCCAAAGTGCAGCCACTGGAATATTCCTTCTAGTCCCCAGATTGATTGGCCACCTTAACTCAAGATCTGCAATGATGGCAGTCACAGGTGGTTCAAGCCGATCAAGAAGCTGTTCAAAAGGAGCTTCCATCTTTGTCATGACAGCTTCATAGAAGCCAGGAAATTCTTGTGCCCTAACCCTCTCAGATGGGATGACATTAGGAATTGTTCTGAAGCGTATGTTATCAGGCCTAGGATTGGAGCCGATTAATCCTAGCCACTCTTCTGTGACAACAAAGGTGATGATAATATCTTGTTTTCTAGAAACTAACAATTTGCAGAGGTTCATCAAAGGGTTGATGTGGCCTCGGCCTGGATAAGGCATCGCAACCACATGACAGATGGCGGTAGAGTACATCTCTCAGTTGGGCTGTTTATCTTGGTAGAGTTTGGAAGAACAAGAGGTGCGTCCTTTATCATCTTCTAAAGTGAGCTCAGGATAACGTTTTAAGATAAAAACAGATTACTTCTGGTTTTGAAAAATTACAGATAAGATGAAATAAAAGAAAATGCTTGTATAATATTTTGTGGGTCAATTTGTGATGAAGTCATATGCATCGTATTTAGAACCGACTTACAAATGTATGGCCAGTATTCCTTTTACCACCTTTTTGACCAGAAATCAAGGATTTTAGGTAAATTGCCCTCATGGAACTGCCAATAATCCAGGAAGAAGACAAGATATTTTTTCAGCTGATTCAAAATTTACACCAGCAGGTGAGTTTTAAGAAATAAATCAAAGTCAGATACCCTAGATAACAGAATCTAGCAAATGCTTAGTGACAACTGTATTCGACAGAAAAACTTTCGACCAAATTATTTTAGCCACAGAAGTATGGTCCCTGGCTGATGGTTTTTCTAAGAGGTGATTAATGAGATGAAATATATAATATGATCAATGGTTATGTCCTTGTGAAATGTCTTGAATGAATGCAGTAAGGTTGATTACAGATGATCCGCTTTCTGTGGTAGCTCCTTGACAAATATCTCTAAGTTGTCTTGCTTTTCTTCTTATTTCTATACCCTCATCGCTATTCAAATCCATAAACCTTTTTATAACTTCAGCAATTTCTTCTCTTGTCAAAAATTTTTGAGTTCCAATCTCTCTCTTCACCTCCCATCCAATTTTCCAATCTTCCACAATTTGGTTACTGTTAGGATCTTGATCCAAAAATAGGGGAAAAGTAAGCATAGGAACCCCAGCAAAAACAGCTTCTAGAGTGGAATTCCATCCGCAATGTGTCCAGAAACCACCTACAGAAGAATGGCACAACACCCTTAATTGGTCACACCAAGGCAGTACCAACCCTTTATCTCCACAAATTTCTTTCAAACGAGAAGCTTCTCCACGAGCCACCCACACGAAATTAACATTGCTATTTTGCAAGCCAGCAAGAATTTCATCCATTTGCGTACTTGAAACAGAGAGGAAGCTGCCTAATGAGATGTACAGTACTGAATCTGCTGGTTTAGAATCTAGCCACTGTATATAGCCATCATCATTAGTACTATTACTAGTTCCATAGTTGTTTTGCTCAAGTTCTAGGTAAGGTATAGCAGGGCCAATAGGGTACACAGGAAAAGGAAAAGTTTCCCTTAAATTGTTGGTAACTTGGGGTTCAAGCTCGTAGATAGAAGTGAATAGAAGATATTGTGCTTTTGGCACCCTAGAAATGCAATCCAGGGCAAGCTGCAACACTCCATGATCATTTCTTTGGAACACTGCTTTAAGGTCCGCTAGATTTGATGAAGAAATTCCTGGGATGTACTCCACATCATCTATCTCGCACACAATGACACAATTTCATCAATATTTAGGGTTTAATAAGAGTTTAAGCACAGTAGATTAAAAAACCAAGAAGGCATAAACATATCAATTGATAAAAACAACAGTTCATGGGAATTGTTAGAAATTTGCTTGTTTTTGGATATTTAAGTGCCTTGTATCCATTAATTGAAATCAAGAAGGCATAAACATATCCACTAATTAGTTTGCCTTTTATATTTGGGATATCAGTTTGAATGTGTAGCATATTCAATTCAAAATCTCGAGATTTAGCATACGTACCTAGGAAATCAAAGATTGAATCCTGTTCTCTTGAGAACTGACAAAAATGATAGAGCATACAGAAAAATGATATTGACATGGTCCAAAGTGCAGCCACTGGAATTTTCCTCCTACTACCGACACCGATTGCCCATCGTACCTCTATATCGCCAATGATGGCAGTCACCGGTGGTTCAAGATGGTCAAGCAGCTGCTCAAATGGAGCTTCCATCTTTGTCATGACAGCTTCATAGAAACCAAGAAAATCTTGAGCTTTAAGCTTCTCAGGCGGGATGACATTAGGTATTGTTCTGAAACGAATGTTATCAGGCTTAGGATCGGCGCTGATGTAGCCTAGCCACTCTTCGGTGACAACAAAGGTGATGACGATATCTTGATTTTTTGCCGTTAATAACTTGCAGAGATTCATCATGGGGTTGATATGGCCTCGCCCTGGAAAAGGCATTGCAACCACATGACAGATGGCGTTTTCTTCCATGTTGTTTGAGTTCATAGAGGCGAAATTGACTGTTTATCTTGGCATAGTTGGGAAGAAGAAGAGTTGCATCTTTTAATATTTAGAGAAAGTTGAAAGTAAAGTAGGCTCAAGTTAACTTTTTTCATCTAACAGCATATTACTCTTGGTATGAATAATTGCAGATAAGATATAAAATGAAGAAAAGAAAAAAGCTTTAACAGTGTCAGCCATTAACTGTCCTGTTTCCGGGTCTTTCTTCCCTTCTCTGTTTTTTCTATTAATTTTCAAAGCAAACCATCACAGACAGGGTCAAATATTTTATTTATCCATCTCTTTCTTGCGGCAATCACGAAGGCCAGACCCATGCTTGTATTTTAGTATTAAAGTCATGGAAAACAATGATGATTATTTTGAATTGTGCACATGGTAGTGTTTATTATTGCAGCCTCAGGCTTGACTTCGATTGGTTCAAAATTTTAGATTTTTAAAAATTTTTTATTGAAAAAATTAAAAAAAAGTTGAATTATACAATTATTACGGTGTAAGATTTATAAATTAATAAAATATTTTTTATATTTATTTTTTTATAAAATATTAAAAATTAATAAAAACACTCTTAATTTATCCTTAAATACGGACAGTCGGCCACCATCGTCGGAGAGTGATCGGAGTCACCGTTTCGGTTTATGACCGACTGGATCTTGTCGGTCGTGCGTTGATAAAGTCTTTTCCGATCAAATACACGGTAGATCTGGCCGACAAAGGCCAGATCTGGCCTGTATTTGCTATTCAACGACGGCCAACAAACGGTCATGGTCAACGATGACCGTTTGTTGGTCATCGTTACCGACTGGTTACAGCCAACGACCAGATCTTTGACCTTAGATCTGGCATTTTTCTAGTCAGATCCACGGAAAAGGCTAGATCGGCGCACTATCGGCTGAATCTTACCAGATTCTGACCATTTTCCGACAGTGGTGGCCGGAATCTGGTAAATGTAGATTATTGGGGTGTTTTTGTAATTTTTTTTAAAAATACTTAGGGTTATTTAATTAAATTAACAAATTGAAGGGGTTTAAAAAATGTTGAATAATATTATGAGTTTTTAAGTATTTTACTGTTTAACTTTTTTGGGAATTCTAAAAGTAGTATTCCCAATCGACAACCAAACGAAGCCAAGATACCCAACATCCAACAATCACCCTTTTTAATTTATTTTCTTTATTAGGGGTGTTCGGATTAGTTTATGCGTGATTAAACTAATCTTTTAGAATTTTAAAGTTAACGGTCAAGCAAATCTCTAGTGCCTACCCTTTATTAGTAATCGTAGGGATTTGAACTCAAAACTTTTTAAGTAACGTATCTAAGAGTCTCCAACAAACTATCAAATTGCCTAAAGGTACTTAATGATTGGTTTCATGACTAAACAACATGATAAACTTTTATAACAGTTTTATTTATAACATGGTCGTCAGTCTTGATGATTTGATCAATAAATATACACACAGCTACTCAATAGTTATGTGACCTTGTGAAATCTCCTTAATGAAAGCATCAAGATTTTCTCCAGATGTTCCACCTTTTGCCGTTGCTCCATCACAAATTTCTCTAAATTTTCTTGCTCTTTTCCTCATTTCTTGTACCTCAATGCTTTCTTTATCCATAAACTTTTGCACAATCTCGGCTATTTCTTCTCTACTCACCGAATTTTCATCTCCACCTCTTCCCCTTAATCTCCACCCAATCTTCCAATCTTGCACAATTTTCTCACTATTTGGAACTTGATCATAAGTTATAGGAAATGTAATCATTGGAATGCCAGCAAAAAGAGCTTCAAGAGTAGAATTCCACCCACAGTGAGTCCAAAAGCCCCCGACAGAAGAATGGCACAACACCTTCAATTGGTCACACCAAGGCACTACCAATCCCATATCACCACAACTCTTTTGCAATCTACAAGTTTCTCCTCGCGCAACCCACAGGTATCGAACACCACTATTTTTCAGTCCAGCAGAAATTTCATCCATTTGTTCACTTGAAACTGAATGGAAGCTCCCCAATGATACATACAAGACTGAACCAGTAGGTTGAAAATTTAGCCATTCTTGATAGTTGGGACCATCAGGACTAATATTTGTGCAGAAATTGTCTTTCAATTCGAAGTAGGGTATCACAGGGCCAATGGGATAAATGGGAAAAGAAAATTTCGTTTCGAGAGTACCAAAGACTTGGGCTTCAAGCTCGTAAACAGAATTGAATAGTAGATATTGAGATTTTTGCACCCATGAATGACCTTTTAAGGCAAGCTGCATGACTCCTCTACCACTTGCACCGTAGATAGTTCGAATGTCTGATACATCAGTTGAAGAAACTGCTGCTGGAATGTCCAAAATCTCGTCTCCTTTTCCTATCCCACACAGCCAGCCATATGAATAAGTTACTATGAATGTACTTGGCAGTATAGTAAATCAACATTAGAGAATAGCTACACAGTCAGGGTAAGAAACAGAAGAGAAGCTGAAAGCAAATCGAATTGTATTTTACTACCTAGCAAATCAGCCAGTGAATGCTGATCTTGTATGGTGCCAAAATAATGTAGCTTCGAAAAAAATGTTGCCGATGTAGTGCAAAGCGAGGCTACGGGAATATTCCTGCAATTACCAATGCGGATTGCCCAGAAAAGCTCGGAATCAGTTATGATGTTAGTCACTGGCGGGTCAAGCCGATCAAGGAGCTGCTCGAAGGGAACTTCCATTTTTGTCATTACAGCTTCATAGAATCGAGGAAACTCCACACCTCGAACTAGCTCGGAGGGGATGACATTTGGTATTGAAGCAAACCCCAAGTTGTCAGGCTTAGCATCAGAGCCAATGAAGCCAAGCCATTCTTCGGTAACAACAAATGTAACGAGGACATCATTTGTTTTAGAAGCTATTAGCTTGCAAAGATTCATCATGGGATTGATGTGGCCTCGACCGGGAAGAGGCATTGCCACCACATGGCGGACGGCAGTTGGTTTCAGATTGATTGAAGGATCCATGTTCAGAGTCTGAATGCAGTGAAGGTTTCGATTGATTTTGAGATGAGCTAGCTTTATTGATGAATTTTGTTGGTTTACAGTGTTCAATTATTGGCTGACTTCTGAAAAGACAAAGAGCTCTTAATTAAGAAGAATTCATATTTTTATAAATTGAGAGCCCCCACAAGAGAAATACATAATGGGAAAGTCTCAGGGAAGGATCTCAAGAAATAAAAAATGCAGAGAGCTAGCTACCTTAACGGATATATAATTGAAAAGTTTGATGTCTTAGCTGTACTTTGAGCCAACGTTTGAATCAAATATATTTTTATTCATCCTCTGTTTCTTTGTATATATATTCATGCAGATTCAGATGAAAAACTTCTGCAGGCGTTTATCGTTTGGCAGTACAAGAATGCAATGATGGAGGCATTAATTAGTTCCCCATTTTCAGTTCTTAACGTTAATTAGTCTTCTCCAAATGAAGCTGACAAAGTTTCTTTTAACTTCTTATTGGCATCCCTTTTTGAATGACTTTAATAGGAATGAATTTGGGATGCAGCAGGGAAAGTGAGATATATATACAGATAAATGGTTACTGCATATACAATCAAATGTTTGGTGAGCTAAACAAGAGCTTGCAAGTTGTAGCACTTTCTCCTATGTAAATTAATTTTCTGAAGGTAACATTTTCGAATCTCTGAAGCACATGCTAGTTTGGTAATTATCATCAATAATTAATTAACGAGCGTTTTGATTGATGCATTAATTAACTCTTATGCATACTGTCTTAAGCAATGAAAAGAGTCAGAGTAATCCCAAAGGGTTTGACTTGATGGTCTAGGAGTTTTGCTCTATTCCTTGAGTTTTTAGGATCAAAACCTTGGGGCACTTACTATTATGACTTACCTGGTCCTTTGAATTTGTAAGGCATTCAATAAACCCCGGAGATTAGTTGATGTGCATATAAGTTGGCCTGGACACCCTAATACCAAAAAAAAAAAAAAAAAGCCAAATGGAAATGAAAATGTGAGTTGCCAAGGAAGAGATCAAAGTATCCTGATCCTCAATTCCCTAAAACTATTTGCTTGGACACAAAGTGGGCATTAAGTCCAATATCAAAATGCAATCCGTCACTTTGGAAGTGCGAAGAAAGGAGGCAGAATGAGGGAAAGAACAGAAAATGGGTTATTTTAGATTTGATGAGCTCACAACCAACGGTGAATTTTCATCCGATTTTAATGAAATTCCAGCATGTCGCTAATAATGATCTAAAATATATATCCAACGGTTTGAATCGTCATATTTTATATTATTTTGCTTCACGTTAAGATTAATGCTAATAGAGGTGGGAAAAATGGGCCGGTCAGGTGGGTCAACCCTAACTCGGCTCGATTGAACCCAAGCTCAACTTGACTCGACTCGATGACCTACGCAGGTTGATCTTTTTTCATTGAAAAAAAAAACCCCGTCAGGCCCCCTAACCAAAGGGGAAATAAAAAGAAAAATTAGTTTTTTTTGGTGGGTCGGCTCAACCCAGCTCGCACAAAAACCCACTGGGTTAGGGTTACCAAGCCAGGCCAGGTTGGCCCTTTTGAAAAAGAGGGGGGCCTAACCTAGCTTGCACTCGCTGGCGGGCCGGGTTAGGTCCGGCCCGCAAATTGCCCAGGCCTGCCGCGGGTCGGGCCACTTTTCCACCTTTAAATGCTAACCACTTTTGAGTGAAGAATTTATTGTTTGTATGTCCTCTTATCATTATCTATTTAGCAAAAACTGTCGCATAGAGATAAAAGGCCATGGGTCATGAACTTCTTTTCTCGGAGAAGAAGCAATGACGGTAAATGAGGAATAAGCACCAACTAACTTTGTGCCAGCACCCGTAGTAATATAGAGGATACAAGCGTTATATGCAATGATTGGGCGCAAAGCGTTTATAGGTGGCTTTTTAAGTACACCCTCAAATCCCATCACTCAACCTTGGACAGGCAGTGGAAACTATCAAGCTAGAGTATGGTAATGGCAGAGGGAATTTCCGATGGACTATGAAAAGCATAGAGATCGGAAAGAAAAGCACTCTACTGAGCTAACATTGATACTGAGAGACAAAAACTAGGAGAGCGAATGGGATTAGATACCCCACTAGTCCTTCCTAGCCATAAAGAATGGATACTAGGCGTGTGCGTTTTCTACTTTTGCATTATTCACATAAAATGAAAAATTAGAAAAATTGCAATAAATGAAAAACCCATAAAGAAAGCAATAATGTAAATATAAGTTTTTAAATGTACGTAAACTTTAAGATGTTCTGCCTTGAGTTTGCTCTTGGTGTTAAGAAATGTCCCTAATGAAGGATTTGATGTCAATTTCAGATGATCCATCTTCTGAAATTGCATTTTGGCACATCTCTCCCAGTTCTTTCGCCCTTTTCCTCATTTCTTTAACTTCAATGCTTTCCGTATCCATAAACTTGCGCACAAGCCTCTTCATTGCATCCCTTGTCACCAAATTTTCCACTCTCGTTTCCTTTCTAACTCTCCAACCAATTTTCAAATCTTCCTCAATTAACTTGCTATTTATAATTTGGTCCACTCCTAGAGGGAATGTAAGGAAAGGAGCTCCTGCAAAAACACCTTCTTTAATAGAATTCCACCCACAATGTGTCCAAAATCCCCCAGTACAAGGATGAGATAACACCTTCAATTGGTCACACCAGGGAACCAACAATCCCATTTTACCACAGGCCTCTTTCAGTTTACCTGTTTCTCCACGAACAGCCCACAAGAACCTAACACCGCTATGGCACAAACCAGCAGCAATTTCATCAATTTGAGTGCCTGAAATTGAAAGATTACTTCCAAGAGAGACATAAAGAACTGAACTGTTAGGTTGGCTGTTTAGCCACTCTATGTAGTTGATTTCATTGTGTCTAGGACTTAATGAGGAATTGTCTTCAATCTTAAACCAAGGTATGGCAGGGCCAACCGTGTAGATGGGTATCTGAAACTTTGCTCTTAAAGCATCAATGGCATAGGGTTCTAGCTCATATATTGAAGTGAATAAGAGATATTGTGCTTTATGCACCCACGAAATAATCCTATGGAATTGCTGCAATATATATGACTCGTTGCCACTGATGAGCGATGGAAAGTCCATCAGACGTGTTGAAGAAACTCCTGGGATGTAGTCCACACGTTCCTCGCCCCTTTCTATCAAAAATAGACATAAAGAAAATTAATTATATCCGGATTTGAAATTACAATTATATGAACATTTATTGTTATATATATCATGGTTGATACTCTTTTTTTCCACAGTTGCCTTCTTCAATTGTTAATGTATACAAATGTGTGTGATTTTATCTGCAAAGACGGTTTAAAATGCATCAACTCCTTTGCAGATAAATGAAACTCAAAGCTATTGTAATCTTTTTTCACCAACTAAATTTGATCTATGAGTGCCATATCTAAAAATCCCACGTCCCAACTCCATTTTGCACCTTAAATGGGTGAGAAAAATTAGAAAACTGTATATCCCAAGAACAAATAATGAAGAAAAACAAGGTTTTTGTAGCCTGTCTCACCTAACAAGTCAACTGGGTAGTGTCCATTTTGCACTAAAAGGTCGAAATGTTGAAACACCGAAAAGATCATAGCTGACATAGTCCAAAACGACGCCACAGGAATATTCCTCCGATTCCCAACACTGACAGCCCAATACAAGAAACTATCAGCAATTATCATAGTAGCCGGCAGCTCAAGTTGATCGAGGAGAAGTTCAAAAGGACGCTCCATTTTCGTCATAACAGCTTCCATGAACTCCTTCATGTTGCCTGGTCGATCTCGCTCCGATGGGATCACATTTGGTATTGAAACCAAGCGTATTTTTTCCGGCATATTCTCGGAGCTGAGGAAGCTGAGCCATTCTTCGGTGACTACAAAGGTTATAAGTATGTTGTCGTTTCTTAAAACTAGTAGCTTTCAGAAATTGATGATGGGGTTCATGTGGCCTCGACCAGGATACGGCATGCACACCACATGGCAGAAGGTGTTTTGCTCAGATACAACAAGGTTTTTCATGTCTGGAATGTGATTGAACAACCTTTGATCAATTCGGGGCTTGCCTGAGATTGAATTGGAAATACGAAACTACTGAGTTGAAAGAATCTAGATAGCGTATGAGCCAAAGCAAGAGATTTAGAAAGAGTTAGGCAGAGAAGAGTAGATAATGCAGAGGTAAGAAACGTGATTGAACAGTTGGAGAGGTGTTTTCAGAAGAATAATTATTTACATGTGCTGGCATGAATTTGAAACGCTTAATTGTTTCTATAATCAATAGATGAGGATTTGCAAGTAGCACCTTTTCCTATGTACTTTAATCACTTATCAATGACAGTGTGCTAATAAATGATATGAGGGTTGTTTTCTATAATGAATTTAATTTAAAGATTGAGATTGCTTGTATCTCTTACTTTCTTTCAAGTCAGTGTAGTATTTGTATTAGTTGAAGTTTTTGGTTAAAATTATTTGGTGATCCTTATTTTAAGGAACTGTTGCTGCTTTATGTATGTTGTGGTTTAATTAAGGGATGGTGCGTCAGATGTTTATATATTTTGTTAGTCATGTATATTGTATTGACGCATATGAAAATATAAAATACCTTCAGCTCTCGTCTGTTTTTTCTTCTGTTTTTATTTCCTCTGTTTCTCTTGATTTGCTTCCTTACTGCATAAATTTGTCTTGCTTCATCAGTCAAATTCATTCTCAGCCTTGAAAACATTTAACACATGAGGAGGGTTTACAATCTAAATCTATAATGAGATTAGCACATAGATAATTCACCTTAGGAGGGTGTTATATATATAAATTAATGTGAAATAACCCTCATTATCATATTATTAGCAACATTTACTGGTACCTGCTTATTGATCCATCCAAGCTAGTCTTCAGTAACAACGAAGGTGATGGCAATATCTTGTGATTTTGAAGCTAGTAATTTGCAGAGATTCATCATGGGGTTGATGTGGCCTCGACCTGGAAAAGGCATTGCCACCACATGGCAAATGGCAGTTTGGTGCACACTGTTGACAGCATTCATCATGTTTGGGGTCTTAAAAAATTGCTCATTTGCTTGCATTTACTCCTGATTGGAGATGCACGGACGTCTTATTGAGTGATCAGAGAAAGTTACTTCCTGGCCTGCTTTACCAGGGCCCAGAAAATTAATTTTATGAGATCTGGCGCTATATATATAATTTATTCTTACGTAACTAGGTTTTAACGACCACCAGAGTATAAGAATCAAAAGGTTATCGGAAAGAGATCATCAGAGCCGACCAAGTACACAGTAGGCAACTAACTTAATTGCTTTGTTTGGAGTGGATTTGTGAAATATCCTTAAGAAAAGCATCAATGTTACTTATAGATGATCCACCCTCAGGCTTCAGCAACTGCTCCTCGACAAATTTCTTTAAGTTCTCTAGCCCTTTTACTCACCACCTTCCTCTCAGTACTATTCATATCCATTAACCTTTTCACTAGCTCTGAAATCTCTTCTCTTGTCACCAAACTTTCACTCCCAACCTCTCTCCTCACTCTCCATCCAATCTTCCAATCCTCCACAATTCGCTTACTGTTTGGAACTTGATCCATAAAGATTGGAAATGTAAGCATTGGAACACCAGCGTAAACAGCTTCAAGAGTAGAATTCCAGCCACAATGTGTCCAAAATCCCCCGATGGAAGAATGGCACAACACCCTCAATTGGTCACACCAAGGCACTACAATCCCTGCATCATCACAGCCATCTTTAAAGAGAGAAGTATCGCCACGAGCTATCCACAAGTACCGTACACCACTATTGCGCACCCCAGCAACAATTTCATCCTTTTGGGCACTTGAAACTGATAGAAAACTTCCCAATGAGACATACAAGACTGAGGCATTAGGTTGGGAATCCAGCCACTCGAAGTAGTTGGGACGTCCATTGAGATTACTGGTTGTTGTTGATGAAGAGTTGTGTTTGAGTTGAAAGAAGGGTATGGTAGGTCCAATCGTGTACACAGGAAAAGGGAATTGAGCTTTTAAATTGTCAATCACTGGAGCTTCAAGCTTGTAGACAGAAGTGAAGAGAAGATATTGTGCTTTTGACACCCTTAAAACACTTTCCAAGACCCTGTTTAAAACTTTTCTGGTACCTTCATTAGATCCAGTTCCATGCAAAATTGTTGGAAGATCAGCTACCCTTGTTGAAGGAAGTCCAGGGATGTAGTCAACAAGCTCGTTTCCCCGTTCTGAAAACCCAAGATAAGATGCAAATTAACCAAGGAAATGATAATTAAATGCGCAATCAGTATTAATATATGTCTTAGCTAATTAATTAAGGAGCCTTATTTGTTATAAATAGCTTTAATAATCTTACCGTATATTTGAAAACTTGGTCGTAGTGATAATTATAATTAATACTATTCTTCCCAAATGTGTCAGCGTATAACTATAATAATCCTTAAGTTAATATATATCTTTACTGTATGGAAATAGAACTGAATGAAAATTAGATCGTGATCTGAATGATATTAAGAGAAAATTAACAGGGAAAATCTGGTATACGCACCTGATAATTCAACTGAGAAATGCCCCTTTTTGTCTAACAGCTCACGATAATGGAAAACAGAAAATACGGACGCAGACATTGTCCAAAGCGTAGCCACAGGAATGTTTCTGCGCTTGCCAACGCTAACAACCCAAGGCATGAAAGTATCAGCTATAATAGCACTTACTGGGGACGCGGATTCAACCTCATCCAACACCTTCTCAAATGGCGCTTCCATCTTTGTGAAAACAGCTTCCAGGAAGGCAAAAAAGTTATTGGCACGAACAAGCTCAGAGGGAATTACGTTAGGCACGGTAGCAAACCGGATGTTTTCCGGCTTGGTTGCATAACCAATGAAGCCAAGCCACTCTTCAGTGACAATAAAGGTGATAAGAATATCAGGGCGTCTTGAAACCAGCAGCTTGCAAAGGTTCATCATTGGATTGATGTGGCCTCTACCAGGATAAGGTAGGGCCACCAAGTGGCAGATCTTCATGGATTGATGATCCATATCTGATATGGCTTATTTCAGAAGATTAGAGGAACTGGGGACTTGATTAATTTGCTTGTTGAGGGATTTGTTCACCGGCTGCTGCTTTTGAATTAGTCAAGCTCTTGTAACACGTTTGTTTATATATATATAAACGTTTGTCACATGGAAAAGTTTATTGGACTTCCCATTTTTCTTGCTTGTCTATTGCATATGTCATGCATCAGGCCTTACGACATACAGAAGAACCAATAAAAAAAGATAAAATATTCGGCTTAATTCCAAAGGCCATTATGAATGCATATAGTTCAACACTATTGGCATAAATTAATTGGATACCAAACAAGAAGACAATTTAATATATGCTCACACAAGATGCTAGTATAATTAACAGAAATTACAATCGATTTCGTTTATCTGTGTTAAATCATAAGAGCCGATTGAGTAGAAAATACACCAATTTAATTGTTTTATTTAGAGTGGCTTTATGAAATATCCTTAAGAAAAGCATCAATATTAGTAATAGATGATCCACCTTCTGCAGTTGCTCCCTGACAAATTTCTTGAAGTTTTCTAGCCCTTTTGCTTAACACCTTCCTCTCAACACTATCCAAATCCATAAACCTTTGTACTAGCTCTGAAATTTCTTCTCTTGTCACCAAACTTTCACTACCGACCAGTTTCTTTACTCTGTATCCAATCTTCCAATCGTCTACAATTTGCTTACTATTTGGAACTTGATCAACAAATATTGGAAAAGTAAGCATTGGAACTCCAGCATAAACAGCTTCAACGGTGGAATTCCACCCACAATGAGTCCAAAATCCCCCGATAGAAGAATGGCACAACACCCTTAATTGGTCACACCAAGGCACTACAATCCCCATGTCATTTCTTCCATCATTAACCCGACAAGTGTCACCACGGGCTACCCACAAGTACCTGACACCGCTCTTGCGCACCCCAGCAACAATTTCATCCATTTGGGCATTTGAAACCGATAGAAAACTTCCCAATGAGACATACAGGACTGAGCCGCTGGGTTGGCAGTCCAGCCACTGGAGGTAGTTTGGACCACTGAGACCAGTAGGACTTATTGATGAAGAATTGTCGTTGGGTTGAAAGTATGGTATGGTAGGTCCAATGGGGTAGACGGGGATAGAAAATTGTGCTTTTAAATTCTCAATGACTTGAGCTTCGAGCTTGTAGACTGAGGCGAAGAGAAGATATTGAGCTTTTGACACCCTTAAAACACTTTCCAAGACCCTGTTCAGAACTTGTCTGCCAATTTCATTAGTTCCAGTTCCATGCAAAATTGTTGGAAGATCCACTATTCTTGTTGAAGGAAGTCCAGGGACGTAGTCAACAATCTCAATTCCCCGTTCTGAAAGGCCACATGATAAAGATGCAAATTAACTTAGGAATTCACAATTTTAGAGGGTGTATATGAATTATATGGATAATGTGATTATATGGTTAACAAAATGATATATATAAATGAAAAACTCTTGCTGAACAAATATTTCTTTGGGGCAACTAAACGCACCTGACTGTTCAACTGGTAAATGGCCATTTTTAGGTAGGAGCTCATGATGATGGAGAAACGAAAATACAGATGCAGACATTGGCCAAAGCGAAGCTACAGGAATGTTCCTGCGGTTGCCAACATCAACAGCCCAAGGCAGGTTAGTATCGGCTATAATAGCAGTCACTGGGAACTTAAGCTCATCCAAAAGCCTCTCAAATGGAGCCTCCATCTTTGTTGAAACAGCTTCCAAGAAGCCAGGCATATTCAATGCACGAACAAGCTCGGAGGGTATTACGTTGGGCACAGTAGCGAACTGGACATTGTCCGGCTTGGTTTCGGAACCGATGAAGCTCAGCCACTCTTCAGTGACAACAAAGGTGATGAGAATACGAGGTTGTCTTGAAACAAGCAGCTTGCAGAGGTTCATTATGGGATTGATGTGGCCTCTACCAGGATAAGGCAAGGCAACTACGTGGCAAATCTTCATGCTTGATGTCTTTGTTTCGGATGGATCCATATATTCTTAGAATATTACAGCAACTGTGTGGAAACTGGAGAGTCTATAAGAGAACTGAAGGAGGAAGAAAGGTAAATAGGCATCCTTTAAGGAGATTAAATTACTAATTAAATACCTTTGTATGTTATAAATTCGACAATAAGTCAATAATTGACGTGATCGATGTAGCTTTTTTAATTATTACTATGTATAATATTCTTCTGGGCAAATACTAAAAAAAAAAAAAACTTTTCACCACAAAAGCAGAAAGCTGAGCAATAAACAGAAAATTTATTTCTTTGTTCGATATATAAATCTTAGTTTCATTAATTATTCAAACAATCAAGGTCCTAATATCTCCAACATAAGAAACAAATGGCGCCCTGGGTACTCCAAATCATGAGAGTGGACAGGGTACATTAAACTTACTTGCTTATTCTGAGTCATGGATCTGTGAAATATCCTTAAGAAAAGCATCAATGTTACTTATAGATGATCCACTTTCAGCAACTGCTCCTTGACAAATTTCTTTAAGTTCTCTAGCCCTTTTACTCATGTCCTTCCTCTCAATACTATTCATATCCATAAACCTTTTCACTAGCTCTGAAATCTCTTCTCTTGTCACCAAACTTTCACTCCCAACCTCTCTCCTCACTCTCCATCCAATCTTCCAATCCTCCACAATTCGCTTACTGTTTGGAACTTGATCCATAAAGATTGGAAATGTAAGCATTGGAACACCACTGTAAACAGCTTCAAGAGTAGAATTCCAGCCACAATGTGTCCAAAATCCCCCGATGGAAGGATGACATAAAACCCTCAATTGGTCACACCAAGGCACTACAATCCCTGCATCATCACAGCCATCTTTAAAGAGAGAAGTATCGCCACGAGCTATCCACAAGTACCGTACACCACTATTGCGCACCCCAGCAACAATTTCATCCATTTGGTCACTTGAAACTGATAGAAAACTTCCCAATGAGACATACAAGACTGAGGCATTAGGTTGGGAATCCAGCCACTCGAAGTAGTTGGGACGTCCATTGAGATTACTGGTTATTGTTGATGAAGAGTTGTGTTTGAATTGAAAGAAGGGTATGGTAGGTCCAACTGGGCAGACGGGGAAAGGAAACTCCGTTTTTAACTGGTCAAAGACTTGATCTTCCAGCTTGTAGAATGAAGTGAAGAAAAGATACTGTGCGTTTGACACTCCTTCAACACATTCCAAGGCTCGGTTTAAAACTTTTCTGGTACCTTCATTAGATCCAGTTCCATGCAAAATTGTTGGAAGATCAGCTACCCTTGTTGAAGGAAGTCCAGGGATGTAGTCAACATGCTCCTCTCCACGTTCTAAAAAATATATATATATATATATGCAAACAGAGGAATGTTTAAGAAGCATTTTATATCCTTTAGGTTAAAATTAAGAAAATACTATCTGCTCTAGAAAGTATATATACATATATATGGTTATTATTATTATTTGTAAATTGTTTTTTCTTCTGCAATACGGACGTAGTCCAGTTGTAAAAGATGACAGCAAGTGCACATAAATCCATGCTATGATCATTATTGCACTGATTTTTTCCCTGGACCATTCCAGCTATGTATAATTTTTAGTTTAAGAGAAGAAAATGTTATGTTCTTGCTCTCATCTTTTCTAATGTGTAAACTCAAACTGAAGTGAAAAACGCATAAAAAATATATAGTTTATACGCACCTGAAAGTTCAACTGGGAAATGCCCATTTTTAAGAAGAAGCTCATGATGATGAAAAACTGAAAATACAGATGCAGACATTGGCCAAAGCGAAGCCACCGGAATGTTCCTCCGGTTACCAACATCAACAGCCCAACGCATGTAAGAATCAGCTACGATAGCAAACACTGGGAACTCTAGCTCATCCAGTAGCTTCTCAAAAGGAGCTTCTATCTTTGTGGAAACAGCTTCCAAGAAGCCAGGAAAGTCCTTGGCGCGATCAAGCTCCGACGGTATAACATTGGGAACAGTAGCGAACCGGACGTTCTCCGGCCTGGTTTCGGAACCAATGAAGCCAAGCCACTGTTCAGTGACGACAAAAGTGATGAGAATATGAGGTTGTCTTGAAACTAGTAGCTTGCAGAGATTCATCATGGGATTGATATGGCCTCTACCAGGATAAGGCAGGGCCAGTACCTGGCAGATCTTCATGCTTGATGTTTTGGTTTGGGATTGAGCCATATGCGATCAATGGATTCTGAGAATTTCAATACTGCAAACTGTGTGGAAGTTTGATAGTCTAGCTAGAAGAGACCTTTATAAGGAGTAGGTCAAAGAGACTGCCTTACAGTTACCAAAAAGAAAAAGACTTCCTTACAGAAGATTAATTGGCCTAAATACCCTCAATATTAAGTGGGTGGCTCCAAGCCAACGTAAAGTTGCATACGGCATTCTGATTTTGAAGCAAGAAGTTGGACCAAAAGTATAAATTCTGTATACAAAACTTTCGCTTCCAACTTCTCTTTTTACTCTCCATCCAATCTTCCAATCCTCCAAATTTTGCTTACTGTTTGGAATTTGATCCGCAGAAAGTGGAAAAAGTAAGCATTGGAACTATGATATAAACATCTTAGAACCGAGGTTCTAAGTTTCAATCTCTATGACTACTAATAAAGGATAGTCATTGAAAACTTATCTAACTATTAATTTCAAGATTTTAAAAAATTAATTGAGGTGTGTAAGCTAGCCTAGACAACCCCAAATTCCAAAATCCACCTGATGGAAGAATGGCACAACACCCTCAATTGGTCACACCACGAGCCACCCACAAATACCTGACCCCACTATTGAGCACTCCCGCAACAATCTCGTCCATTTGAGCGTTTGAAACTGATAGAAAACTTTCCAATGAAACGTACAAGACTGAGCCACTGGGCTGAGATTCCAGCCACTGGAGTTAGTTGAGATCATTGAGACTAGTAGTTATTGAAGAATTGTGGTCTTTGAATTGAAAGTTGGTTATGGTAGGTCCAACTGGGTAGACGGGGAAAGGGAATCGTGCTTTTAATTTGTCTATGACTTGAGCTTCGAGGTTGTAGACGGAAGTGAAGAAGAGATGCAAAACTTCTTTCAGATCAGCTGCCCTTGTTGAAGGAAGTCCGGGGATGTAGTCCACTTTCTCGTCTCCAGGTTCTTAAAAAACCAAGATCATGTGCATCTGTATTTTGTATATCCTATGGGAGTGAAGCCTTGCTTAAAATTAAAAAATAAAAAATCAAGGGCGTTGAACCTAAAAATTTACATATTTATATAATAAATTTATTTTATACTTGGGAAAACTTTATCCTATGATTTCCGTGTTGATTAGATGAATTACTAGAACCTATGCCAATAGAATATTTCACACACACACATATATACGAGAGAAAATGGATCTTGAGTAGAACTATCTTTAGGTGGTTAGTGGTTCGATAGGGGGTTTTTAGTGTATTACTCAAAAGGTTTTAGTTCGAGTCTTTTCTCGGTTACTAATAGGGTTAGTCACTAAAGCTCTTATCTGGCTGATAGTTCTAGGGTCTTAGGAAATTAGTTGAAATGCACATAAGTTGGCCTAAACACCCTCGATCATTGAAAAAAAAAAAAGATCTTGCTTGAGTTCGAGCCTCTCCTCGGTTACTAATAGGAGTAACCACTAGAGCTCTTATTTAGTCTAAAGTTCTAAAATCTCGAAAAATTAATTGAAATGTATATAAATGAGCTCAAACAACCCCAAAAAAAAAAATAAAAATAAAAATAAAAAAAGGATCTTGATTCTTGAGTCTTGACTACGCATTTTGTTGTATTTTAGAATTGATAGATTCGATGCTTTAATGTCATAATAAATCAATACTGTTACGTTAGGTTAAAATTAAGAAGAATACTACACATTGTTTTGTTACTGTTCTCTATTAAGTCTCATGATGACAGCATGTGCACAAAATCCCATGTTATGATCATCAATGCACATGATTTTATAGACCAGACAGGAGCCAGGCAGCCAGCTTTGAATGAGTATGACAAAACTTTCAAGAGAAAAAATGTACGTTAGGTTTCTTGCTCATCTACCCATGGTTATGATTCTAACTGAAATGAAAAACGCTTGTGTTAAACAAAAAACGCACCTGGAGGCCGGAAGTTCAACCGGCAAATGCCCATTTTTAACGACTGACAATTCAGATGCAGTCATGCAGACATTGGCCAAAGCGAAGCTACAGGAATGTTCCTACGGTTTCCAACGTCAACAGCCCAAGGCATGTAAGAATCAGCTATAATAGCAGTCCCCGTGGTCTCAAACTCAACCTCATCCAATAGCTTCTCCAAAGGAGCTTCCATTTTTGTGAAAACAGATTCGAAGAAGCCAGGAAAATTCTTGCCACGTACAAGCTCAGAGGGTATTAAATTGCGCACTGTAGCGAACCGGATGCTGTTGGGCCTGGTTTCGGAATCGCTGCAGCAAAGCCCCTCTTCGGTGACAACAAAAGTAATCAGAAAATGAGATCGTCTTGAAACGAGTAGCTTGCAGAGGTTCATCATGGGATCGATATGGCCTTTACCAGGAAAAGGCAGGGGCGCAGGGCCACTAAATGGAAGATTTTCATGTTTGATGTTTGTGTTTGGGATGGATCCTCAGAATATTATTACAGCACTCCGTAGAAACGACCTCAAAGGAGTAGCTTCCAGAGGTGGGAATTCGGCCCGGGCAGGACCGGTCCTTACCAGGCCCAAGGGGGGAGGGACCGGCCTGGGGTCCAGGCCTGGGACCGGTACTAGGCCTAAGCCTGTTTATTTTTAAAAACCCTTAAAATTACATAGACTCCCTAAAAATTATCAAAAACCTTCTATAATATATCAAATACATAATAAATTCTAAGAGTTACAATATAATTTTATAAAAAAAAATTATAGCTCATAGGACTGATCTTGGGACCAGGTCCCTATGAAAACTCATGGGTCTGGACCAGTCCTTCAAGATTTGGGTCCGATCTCTTAAGGATCGGTCTTTCATGATTTGGGCCTGGTCCCAAAAGGATTGATCCCAAATTGGGTCCGATCCCAAAAGGATTGATCCCAACTGAGCTTGGGCCTTGCCCACCTCTAGTAGCTTCATATTAGGGTATGTAATTTAAGTCAATGGCCCCAAAAGTGGAGGCAACGCTCACCCATGGGTAGCCTAGCCGCTAAGGCAAAGTATAGGGACTATAAATGAAATAACTTACAATGTCTGGTTTGATTCTTTTGCTGGGCACAAAAGTAACCCCTTTGTCCATTATTTACTTGGGGACCATGGCGGCGCAAGCTGGCCCGGACAGTGGAGGCCACATGAATTTTGCTTTTCAGGATGTAAACAAAGTAGGACCAAAAAATTTAATAAATTTATGTTTACACGTGATTTGCTTCTCCACTACACTCGTTCATATTGTTGTACCAAACATTAATATTATGAAAATATAAAGTATATCATGCATTCCATTCTTTGTTTTGAGGCACCATTAGATGACCCATAAAAACTTATGTTACGACACATTTTGGTAATCACCCTTCTTATATTTTCAAAGTACTCATGCCTAATTTTGAGTGCCTTTTTCATCTTCATATAATTTCAAATAAATCCATTAGTTGTCCCAAATTATAAAAGAAAATACCAATTGGTCAAAATAATTTAGAATAAAATTTAACTATAACCCCCATATATTAATTATTGTTAGGGTTAGGGTTTTTTTTTTTTTTTTTTGGTGGTGGGGGGATTGTAAATAATTGTCTTTCGCGCGACTTGAACGCAAGACCTTTAGGTATAACTAACCCCAATAGCTAAAAAGTTTGCCATCGGGTCACAAGGGGGGAAGTTAGGGTTAGGGTTAGGGTTCTCAATTTTCAAAGTGGGATGTTAAAGTTAATGAGAGAAGAAAGGGGTGTAACCACTTGATTTGTGGTCGGATGGCAAGATTGCAGGTTACCTATAAGTCTTGTGTTCAAATCACACAAAGTAGTCACCTACTACATTTGTGATTTACTTGACCTATTGGACTTGTAGAGTGTTCAATGGACACTGTAAATTAGTTGAGGTGGCACGACATGTTACTACGCTAGTTACCAAAAAAAAAAAAAAAAAAAAGAGAGAGAGAGAGAGAGAGAAGAAAGGGGTGGGTGATGAATTAGTTTCTAAAATTAGGGGTGAATATGAAATTTTCCCACATAATCTGGTGGACCCATAAGAAAGCAAAAAGGCCCATGACCCAAATATATCATTTCCTAGATGGTGCTACATATTTTCTTATTAAAAATTAACTTAACCCGACAAACAAGTTTATTTGAAATGGTTTAATTAATTTCCTGGAAATCTAGTAGATTATTTTAAATAAATGTAATATCAATACTGTTTTCCATTCATTTGGGTACCCATTTCGAAAATAATTCCAAAAATTACTTTTATGTCTATATATGAAAACAATAAAATAAAAATTGTGTGTTGGAAACTGTATTTTTTTTTTTTTTTTTTTTTTATGATCAAGTCATTTTGTACATACCTCAACTAATTTTCGAAATTCATCAAATATCCTACAAGTTTAATAGGTTAGATAAGTCATAAATGTGATAGAATATGTCTGTAATCTAAGGTTTTGTCATCTAACCACAAGTCAAATGCTTAGAAATTGTGTATTTTTCTTGGAATAAAGTCCCCCGCTGAGTCATCATAAGATAGAGTGACATATGTTGCCCACAATAATTTCTCAATGCAGCTGAATTGTCTACATAGAAAATGAAACTAGACATAAAGAGATAAAAACACAAAGCTGAAGCAACCCCACAACCAAATTTCAAATAAATGGACCACTTTTTGTGAAAACTTATTCGAATCCCACCTTTAATCAAGCATACCCAGATGCTAAATTCTCTGAATTTGACTCTTTTCACCGGAAAAATGGCAAAAATAGACCATGCTGAGATATATATATATATCACAGTTGGGTCAATTTGAATTAGGAGTACTTCATAGCACATCACATAATGGAATTGCTCAGTGGGTCCATCACAAAAAAGTATATAAATTAATTATTCAAAAAAGGTCCCAAACAATGTTCTAATCCACTTCAAGAGAAGAACGTTGCCTGACTACCAATCATCATAGGGGTACATTAATTTAATTGCTTCATTTGGAGAGGTTTTGTGAAATATCAAGGAAAGCGTCGATATTTGTTATAGATGATCCACCCTCTGCAACTGCTACTTCACAAATTTCTTGAAGTTTTCTAGCCCTTTTGTTCATCTCCTTCTTCTCACCACTGTTTATATCCATAAACCTTTGTA